AATTCTCTTCTTACAGAGAAGCCCCTGTCCCGTCTGAGTCAGGTTCTCACCAAGGAGAATCCATGTGGGGCTTTCTCCTTTTCCTACAGGATCAGATCTGAGGCTGGTGGTACAGGAGGGGAAACTGAGTCACACACTGCTTCCGGTGTGGGGGAGGTTAGACTATGTAGAGTTTAGAGCCAAGTCTGTCCAGCACGATGGTTCATGCTTGTCATCTCAGCACAGTGGGAGGCTCAGGCAGGAGGATCACTGGAGCCCAGGAGTTTGAGACCAGCCTGCGAAACATGGCGAAAACCCCGCCCCCCTCGCAAATCTTTATTTAAAAAAAAAAAAAAAAAAGGCCGGGTGCAGTGGCTCATGCCTGTAATCCTAGCACTTTGGGAGGCCAAGTTGGTAGGATCACCTGAGGTTGGGACTTCAAGACCAGCCTGACCAACATGGAGAAACTGTGTCTCAACTAAAAAATACAAAATTATCGGGGTGTGGTGGCACCTGCCTAAAATCCCAGCTACTGGGAAGGCTGAGGCGGGAGAATAGCTTGAACCCGGGAGGCAGAGGTTGCGGTGAGCCGAGATCGCGCCATTGCACTGCAGCCTGGGCAACAAGAGCGAAACTCCGTCCCCCACAAAAAAAAAAAAAAAAAAAGCCTGGGCATCAGATCTAAGAAGAATCCTGCTTCAGTTCGGCCTCCTGGTCCCGAGGCTGATGGCTGGTGGTTGAAGGAAGAAGGGCTTCTATCCAAGGCAGGGTCCTCGGAGCAAAGTCCCTGGGTGACACCTTCACCCTAGATGCACGCGGCCCCTCCCTGGATGCCTCCCCACCTCCTCGGCTGGTTTCAGGCTTCAAGTCCTGAGACAGTTCACCTCCCCTCCGGGGGTGGGGGTCCTCCAGGGTTTCCCCTTGAAGCCAAATTATTATTACAAAAGCCAATTCAACCCATTTGGGTGTTGAAAGGCGCTTTTAATAAAATTGTGCGAAGAGGCCATACACGAGCTTTGAAGTCAGAGGACAGGCTGGGTACACTTGACGCAGGCCAGTGATAGTTCCCGCTGTCAGGTGGTGTTGGTAATAAGAATGACAGATAATAATAAGAAGAAATCATCATGTCCCTGGGATGAGGTGTTAGAATGAAGGCGCACCGAGACCCAGGACAGGGTCACCCACTGGATGAGCGCTCACGAAACGGCAGCTCAAGCGGCTGTCAGCACTCTCCGTGCGGAGGAATGAGGAGGGGGAAACTGAGTCCCGGAGCCTCCCAGGCGGCCGATCGCACCAGCCCGCCGTCCCCGGGCCGGGCCAGGACGTTCTCAACGCTCGTGCCCTCCTCCCCCTTCCCCGTCCCCCGCCGGACCTCTCCCACGACCGGGGAGGAAGTCGGAGAAACGGACAGGGGAAAAAAAAAAAAAAAAAAAAAAAAAAGTCGCGCTGAGCCAACGCCTCCCCACTCCTCACGTCCGCGCCTCGCGAGCCACGCCGACCCCCTGGTGCAAAGGAGAGGCCCGCGAAGACCCAGGCGTCCGGGCCCCGGGCCCCGTCCCTCCCCGCGGCCCGCAGCCGGGTCGGGGAACTTGCGAAGCCGGGAAAACAACCGTCCTCCCCGCCCCTCGCCAACCCCTTCCCCCGCTGACGCCCCTAGCGCAGCGGGGTGGAGGCGACTCCTTTATATAATCGCGGGCGGGCAGGTTGGTGGTTTCATTTAGGGACCCGGGAGCCCCGCGGACCCTGGCCGTCCTTGGCGAGGCCAGCCCCCGGGTCCTCGCGCGCGGCGGGGCCCACTGAGGCCCGGCGCCTGGCCTGGGGGGTCCCCACCGCCTCACCTCCCCCCACCCATCCCCGGCAGCCCCGGCCGCGCGACCCACGCCCGTGTCGCTCCTCGCCGTGCGCACCGCGCTCCCCGCCCCCGCTGCCATCCTGCCACGCCCCGGGCGTCGGGGGCACAGCCCGCGCCCCCCCGCACCCCGCCCCTGCGCAGAGGCTGGGGGCCTGTTTATCTGGAGGCCCCCACCCCCCTCCACCCCGGGGGGCCCGCTCCCCCCGCGCCCCGGGGAGCTCTGGGGCCAGATAAGCTGGCAAGCTGGCACGGCGCCGCGCGGCGGGGCGGAGAGGTCAGAGGCGGGGGGGGCGCGCCGGGGCGGGCCGGACCCCCCCCCACTTGACAAAACCTAATAACAGCCCGGTCTCCCCGGCGCAGCGGGCGAAGCCCCACAGGAGGGCAGAGACGTGGCAAGAGGGGACCTGCCGAGCCTGTTCTGGCCTCCGAGGCCGGGCTGGTGGGGGCGGGCTGGGCGTGGGGGGGCCGGCGGCTGCGGCACCTTTAAGACAAGGGAGGACCCCTCTTGCCCTCGGAGAAACCAGGAAGGGAGTCGCGAGCATCATACGGGGCTTTGGCTGTACTGTACAGTTACTGTAGGGGCAGTGACGCCGCCGCCGCCGCGCGAGGGAGCGACCAGGGCAGCGCGACGCGGGCAGAGCGAGCGCCGCGGACCCCGGAGGCGAGCGGCCGAGGGAGCCCAGTCCCAACTCCGGGCCCCGGCCCCGCGCGCCCCGGCCCGGCCCGGCCCGGCGAGGTAAGTCAGCGCCCGGCGCGGCCCCGGGCACGGGGTGCAGGGCGGGGACGGGCGGGGGACGCTGCGCCCACCGCTGCCCCCTTGGGAAGGGGAGATCCGGGGAGCCGGGGACGTTCCCCCAAGTTTCGGAGGAGGGGGTGGTCGGCAGCTGCCCGGAGGCTGGAGGCGCCCTGAATCCCGAGCGCGGGAGGGGGCGCCGCCCGGTAGGGGATATTGGGGGCGAAGTGCATGGGCTTGTGCGCCAGCCCCCCCAACCCGGGTGCATGGCTTTTCGGGGCTCCCAGGCGCGCGGGGAGCGGGGGAGGGGAAGCAGGGCTGCATTGAGGATGGGGGGAGCCGGCGTGGGGAGATAGGGGGGCGCGTCGCCTGCTAAGTTTGCAGCTGAAGACGAGGGGCGCCCTCGCCCCCCGGGGGCCTATTCGGTGCTGCGTGCATACGTTGGAGTTGGCCAGGATTGAGCTCCATGGGGGATGGGGGGGAGGGGGGCTGAAAAAACAGGGAGGGGGGCTTTGCAAAGGAGGGGAAGGGGTGGGGTGTCCGGGTGGGCGGGCAGGGCCGCGGGGACCTCTGGGCGTCGTAGTTCCCTCGCCGTTTGCGACCGGCAGGTGGCAGGCGGATTGGACTTCAAGTCCCAGGGTGCCTCGCGCCGGCAGCCCGCCGCGGCCCGCGGGTAGGGGCGGTGCGGAGGAGGGGCGGTGAGCGGCGGACCGGAGAGCCAATGGGCGCGAGCCGATCGCGCGGCGCGGAGCGGGGGTGGGGCCAGCCAGCCCGGGGGCGGGGCCTGGAGCCGGGCTCCCCTCGCCAGGGGCCGGTGGCGGTCCCGGCTTCCGGCTGCGCGGCCCGCGGGCCGGCCCCCTCCCCGCCCCGGGGTCCCTCCCCGCCTGGTTGTGTAACCGTCCCCAGCCCCCCTTCCCTAGGCCCCTCGCCCGGGGGGGGGGTCACCCTCCCCGCGCTCCCCGGGGAGGGCGGCGGCCCGGGCGGCCGCGCGGTGCAGGCGAGCCCGGGGATGCGCGGCCTAGCGCAGGCCGGGCCCGGGCGTGGGGGAGGCGGGCGGGCGGACCCAGATCCGGGGTAATTTGCATCGCCCTCCCCCCAGCCCGGGTGGGGATTGGCCGCCGGCGGCGGGGGGTGGCGCGGGGCCAGGCTCACTGCCGCCTCCCGGCCCCTCGGAGGGAGCCAGCCCAGCCGCAGCCGCCGCCACCGCCGCCGCCGCCGGGGCCGGGCCCCCTCGCCGCTGCCCCGGGAAGGAGGTAGGAGCCCCCCGCGCGGGCGAGATGGCGGGGGCCCGCGGGCCGGGCGGGGGCCGCGCGCTGCGGCCGGGGCGGGGGAGGGGGCCGCTTCCTGCCCCCGCTTGGGCCTGACTCAGCCCGGGGTGGGGGGCCCGGCCTGGCCCCTCGCCCTGCCCTGGCGGCCGTCCGGCTCCGACCCGCGGGAGGGGGCGGAGAGGGCACCCCCGGTCCCCGCCGCCCGCGCCCCCAATGCGCGTGACCCCGTCTCCTCTGGCCCGGACCCCCCCTCCTTCCCCTTGACGCCACCACCACGTGCGAAGCCTGAGCCCGGGCAGAGGAGGGGGGAGCTGGTGGGATCCGGCCCCCTCCTTCCCGCTCCTAACCTCCGGGGCCGGAGACCCGGCCCGCCCTTCGCCCCAGCCCGGGGCCTGGGAGCCTGGGAGCCTGGCCGGGGGCTGAGCCGAGCGGAGGAGCGGGTGCCCCCCCAGGGCCCGGGCCTCTGCGGGTTCTGGGAGGTGCTGCCCGGGCTGGCTGGCGGGGGCGCACGGTGGGCCGTGGCGGGAGGGTGCTGTCCACCCGGGCCCGGGCACCCAGTCGGCGCCCACTAAATGTTGGCGGAATGCAGCCAGGAGTTGGCGGCGAGGAGGGGGGAGGCAGCAACTCCTCTCCCCACTAGCCAGCCGGCGGAAGTTACAGAGGTGCTGGTGCCCCTGCCACCAGCGGCGCCCACCTGGCTCACCCATGGGTGGCGGGCTCGGTGGGCCCCCCCGACCTCCGGGCCAGCTGCCTCCAGAGAGGGCGTCGGGATTCCGTGTCAGCACCCCCCAACCCTAGAACTGGACCAGGGCGTAACCCTGACCGTGCCGCTCCCACACTGGGGGTGCCCCCCCACCACCGGCGATCACTTCCTATTGGCAAGCTGGTCTGGGAGAGGTCCCCGGGAGGCCAGGCCGAGGCCCGGCCCTGCTGCTGCCGGGGCCTGAGGGCTTCAGGCCGGGGGCGTTTGTCCCCGAGGGCCACCCCCAAGAGCACCTATCGTCAGGGCCGGGGCCTCTGTTTACCACCAGCCATTGCTGTGGAGACAGAGCCTGGGGGAGAGGGGGGGCAGGAGCCGGCCGCTGGAAAAGCGAAGTCTGAGGAAGGAAAGAAGAGCCAACCGGGACACTGAAATTTTAATTCGTGGGTCAGTCCGGGGGTATTTATTATTCAGTTCCGATTGGCTGCGTGGCGGCCAGTCAGCACCCGGGCCGGGGCGGGCAGCCACGCTTCGGCAGAGCCCCGCTTCGGCAGAGCCCCGCTTCGGCAGAGCCCCACTTCGGCAGAGCCCCGCTTCGTCAGAGCCCCGCTTCTGCAGAGCCCCGCTTCGGCAGAGCCCCGCGGGTGGCGGCAGGGAGGGGATGGGTCCTTTGCTCTGTGCAGGACACCGACGCCCGGCAAGGGCCAAGGCAGAGCGCAGCCTGAGCCTGGTCGGGAAGGTTCTTGGGGCGATCACAAGTCCCCTGCTGGGGTTTTTGTTATTGTTTTTTTTTTTTTCCTTTTCTTTCCTTGAGTCCCTCTGACCTATAGCTGGGTCCACCTGGTGCCAGATCCCCGTTGCCATATGAGGGGGAAACTAAGGCGGAGAGGGAGGCAGAATGTGAGCTTGGAAACTGGGGGGTTGGAGCAAGTCTCAGAGCAGGTGCTGGGCAGGGGAGACTGAGGCGTGGGGAGAAGCAGAGAGCTGCCCAAGGTCACTCAGGTGGAGGCAGAGCTGTCCCCTGTGGTCCATCCTAGCTGCCGGCCTGCCCAAAGTCTCCCCTGTGCGGTGACCGAGGCACCTGTCTTTGAGCAGGGCTGGAGGTTGTCAGTAGAGGCTCAACTGCAGGCACCTGCCTGCAAATGGAGCGTCACCGAGGCTTATTAAACCCTGTGTCCGAAGATGACATTGAGGCCCAGAGAGGGCCAGCATGGCTCCCAAGGTCACACAGCACAAGCCACAGCCCTCTCACCTCCCGGCCTCACCGGGCAGGCCCTTGCTGGTGCCTGTGTGTATGACGCCCCTCTCCAGTGCTGCCGAGCCACCATCCCGTCTCACCTTGGCCCTCAGAGGCGGGCAGGGCTCTGGGTTTTACCACCAGAGGAGCTGGAGGTCACCTCGCCAGAGCAGACCCTCTGCAGCCCATACGCTGCAAGGAGGGCTTCTGGGGGTTGGAACACCGGCCTACTGTGCTGTGTGCGTGGGGCGCTGAGGGTCCCCCAGCTGGTGCCTGCAAAGCCACCCATGCTGTGTTCTCCTCCGTGGCGGGAGCTCCTAGGTCAGCTCAGGGCATGGCAGGGACCAGAGTGTGGGGTGTGGGTCAGAGCTGCGTGAGAGGCCTGCTCCCCAGCCTTCACCTGCCAGACCGTAACCCACCCTGCAGTAGCCCCGGGCAACAGGGACCAGAGGAATGAGCTTTGGTGGAGGTGAGCTCAGTCGAATCCCAGCCCTGGCCTTGGGCCCACCCCGGGCAGTCACTCCCTCTCGGCCAGCCTCAGTCTTCCCATCCGGACAGTGGGGAGAGGATCGTCAGCCCTAGCATGTTGTCCCCAGGGTTTGCTCAGTGGGTCCTTGGGAACGTTTGTTGAGTGACTGCTGTGTACCGTGTCGGGCCCTTGGGGGGCTGTCCTGAGGACTCCAGGGCCAGGGGACCCCTCCCTGAGGTCACCTGTGTCAGCTGGACTCCAGCCCTGCCCCGGGCGCCCTGCAAGGCAGCGCTGAGGGTATGAGAATAAGCCGGCCTCTCAGCTCCTCAGCCCCAGGGTAGGGGGATTTCACCTCCTGCTGGTATCTGGGGGCCAGGAATGGGGATGGAAGGAGCTGTGGGAGGACTAGTTAGGCAGGGTGAAGCCAGACGGACGGCCCGGGCTCAAATTCCAGTTCTGCTGTGCGACCCCGGCCAAGCCGTTCCCCCTCTCTGATCCTGTTCCCCTTCTGCAAAATGGGGCATGGACGCAGATCCTGCCTTCCAGCACTGTGGGGGCTGGCGGGTACTGTGGGTCTCTGGGGCGATTATCGAGGCCCAGCCTCCCCGAGCGCCGAGTCCAGAGCCCCGAAGCGCAGAAGGCGCCCCTTGGAGAATCCGGCGCTCGGGAGGAGCGTGGCCAAAGGACCAGCCCCTCCATCTGTCCCCCCAGCAGGCTGTGGACGGCCTGGGTGGAAGTGTCGCCACCCACGCCTTTCTGGTTTTACTGGAAAACAAGGCCCATCCCACCTATCAGGATACCTGAGAGAAGGATCTGGCTGGGTTCTGCAGGCCGCTGGGCTCCCAGGCCTAGCCTTCCACCTGCTCAGGCAAGGGTGGGGGTGGTGCGGGCATGTCCAGGTGACTCGCAGGCCTCCCTCAGGGGAGGGAGAGAGGTCACCCCGGCCTCTTGCAGGCATCTCGGCTAAGCAGGTGCAGCCTGGGCTGACGGCAAGGTGGACAAGGATGGGCGTCTGAGAGTCTGGCCTTGCTTGCCCCCGGTGACGGGAAGCTCAGCCCCTCCACTGCTGTTGTGAAGCTTCCTCTTAGAACCTAGGCTCAGGCTCCAGGCTGGGCTTCCTGGCCCATGACAGCACTCAGTGTGGGAACTGGGTGGGCCTCAGTCCCACCCCTGAGTTGGGCGTCAGATGGGATCCCCCTGGCCTCCTCATCGCTGCCCCCATCCCCACCCCACACTTCCCACTGGGCCCCCGCGGCCTTCCTGCTGGCCCTTTAAGGCCCCGGGCAGGAAGCCCCTCCCCATTTAGGGCAATAAGTGGACACGTAAAATGGCCGAGGGCCTGTTTGCTCCGAGTCTGGCCCAGAAGGAGGCCTTTGGGCAAGGGCAGGCGGGCAGGGGGCGGGCTGGCAGCTGGCAGCCACCCCAGGCCGTTGGTGCCCCCCGATCGGGACACTGCATTCCTGTCCCATTAAACCCAGGCTGGGGACTGGGCCAGGCGGGGCTTGGCACCAGGTCAGGGCGGGGTAACCCGTCGGGGCCAACCTTGCAACACAGGCCGCCGGGCGGGGAGGGGGCAGGGGCTGCCGGGTGCGGGCCTGGCAGCCACACCTGCGCACCAGGCTGGTAGGGTGACCTTGGACTGGCCACCCACCCTCTCTGGGCCTGGTCTCCCCTTCCAGCTTCCTCCTCAGACCCCGCCACCCACACTCCCTTAGTAGGTGAGGGGGGACCGGCTTCCCGGAATAGCATTCAGGGGCGAAGTTCCCATCCGAGAGGGGTGCTGAACACACGGCCTGGCAGTGTTTTGGGGCCTGGCTTTGGCGCGGAGTAGGTCCCTGGGCTGAGTTTGCTGCGTGGATGTGAGTGGGACCCTGACCACGCTGGCACATTGGGGTGGCCCCTTTCCAGTGTCACAAACCCCATCCCCCAGGAGATGGAGGCTCAGAGAGGTCTTGCATCTTGTCCACACTCACAGCCTGGAGGTGGGGGAGCTGGGGCTTGAACCCGTGCTGCTCTGCACAGCACACAGGAGGGGTGAGAGGTCCCTTTGGCCTCCTCTCCTGCTCTCCCTGGGCAGAGGGTTTTATGGGGGCCCTGAGCCCCTCATTAGATGGCCCCCAGAAAGTGTCCTTCGGGGAGGCGGTGGGTGGCAGTGGCCTGCCCAGCCCCCTGGCTGGCGGCCCCTTCTCCATCCTGAGGATTGGGGGTCCCCAGCCCTCCCCTTGTTGTATGACCTTGGGGAGTCCCCTCGCTCCGGTACCCTGTGCTAGCAATGCCGCCTCCTCTCTGCCCGTCCCCAGTCAGCCACCTCCAGGCCTCAGCTTCTGCCACTCCCTGTGCTGGGACGCCCTTCTCTGGATGCCGGGGGCCTTCCCGGGTACACCTGCGGCTCCCGAGCCACATCAGGGTGCTTCCGAGCTCTCGGCAAGTCCTCAGCATCTGGGAGTGGCAGCCGCCCAGGTCAGAGGGCTGCTGTGTGAGCTGGGCTGGGCCGCCTAACCTCTCTGAGCCTCTCGGGAACCCTGGGAAGACGAAAGGAAGGGCACCCAGTTGGTTTCTAAAAGCAGGTAGCACAGAGGAGGCCAAAAGGTGGCCTGGGTGCAGTGGCTCTCGACAGACACTGCAGCAAATGACCCTTAGGTTAGACAGGAGGTGGGACTGGCAGGCTGCACAGCCCCCTGCTTCTGGGTGTGCCTTCCAGCAAGGTGGGCGGACCGGGTGCAGGCCGTCTCTGGTTTATCCGGTGGTTTGCTGTGCCCCTACTGTGCGCCGCCCTGGGAGGGTTGGGCTTAGGGGCCCGGGAGCGGCCCAGGGGGAGGAAGGCGCCCCACCTCCAGCCCAGGAGGGGCCTGCCAGGGCCTGCCCCTTGGCCGCCGAGTCAGCACCGAGCAGCCCCGGAAATCCCACGGAGGCCAGCGCAGGGGAGGAGCTGTGATGAAAGATGGGGCCCTGGGTGGGTGTGGGCCGAGCCCAGGGGACCCTGGCCGGCAGGGGTGGGGACCTGGCTGGCGTGGGGCTGGGGCTTTCCGGAGGAGGGGAACGAAGCCGCCACCTCTGGAGGCGCGGACTGTGTGTTGGGCGCACAGTGGGGCTTCAGTACTCGGGGACTTCTTCTTGTCGGGACTTCGTGGCCCCCCGGGGGTGCTCTGGCTGGAGCCTGGCCTCCCCTCTCCCATCTTGGAGGCAGCGTCTTTGGCCTTTTCCTTAGGGGCGGCCTCCAGGAGGCCCAGGTGGGGGTGGGGGTGCGGGGCGTGGCCGGCAGGTGGCTTGTGTTCCTGGAGTGAGGGCGTGGGTCAGTTGTCTCAGAGCAAGTTTGGTTTCCAGGGCGAGGACAGGACCGGACCATGCCCTGGGCGGGTGGGGGGCAGGTCCCTTCATCATTTCCTGGCCCCCAGCCCCTGGGAGTCAGCCCTGACGGGCACCCTTGGGCCCGGGCATTCTCTTCGGCGAAATGGTCCTCTCACGGGGGCTTTCCTTGGGTGACATCACCCTGGGCCTGGCTGCTTTGAGGGAGGGCCTCGGTGATATTTAGTGGGGAGCAGGGGCCCAAGGGAGGGTCCCAGGCTGGAGAGGGCAGAGGCTGGGACCCCCGGACCCAGCCTGGAGCTGGGATCTTCACGATAGCTGGGACTCCCAGAGGTGGCTGAGCCGCCTGGGTTATTTTGGGCCCATCCTCCAGGCCCCAGGAGAGACACTTCTGAGCCACCCAGAGCGGGGACCGTGGTCACCTGAGGGGAAGAGTGGCCCCGCAGGCCTGGCGTGGCCATCTTGGGGCATTGGTGGCCTGGGTCAGAGGGTGGGTGCTGGGGTGGGTAGGAGGGCCCGGGCCTGTCTGATCCGGAGCTCCATCTGCTCTCACGCTCCCTGCGGCCCAGGGCCAGACGGCAGATGGTGGCAGGGGGTGGACACCACCCAAGGGGGCTCCTCGGAGGCTTCCCAGGGCGGAGACTCGGGTGGGGTCCCACCCTCCCAGCTCCCAGCAGCCACATCTGAGCCCCACTGCCCCACTGCAGGCCTCCAAGCGGACGCGGGCGCTGAGCAGCCAGGGCCTGGGCCGAGGCTGGAAGGAGGGAAGGAGGGCGGGCGGAGGGGACCTGGGGAGCGTGGTGGTGCTGAGCAGGCTCACAAAGGCCTCTGTGTCGCACGGCAGCTCAGGCCCCGTGAGGAGGGCCCTGGGCTTTGGGTCCGGCTGGACCCACACCGTGCCTCCCTTGTGCTGCCAGGCTGTGGGGGGGGCAGGAGGGTCCCATGGCGTGAAGAAGGCCGTGAGAGGCCGGGCTCGGGCCCTCTACCCAGGGACCTTGCCCAGGGGCTCTGGCCCGAGAGCTGCGAGCAGGCTGGGAGGAATGTGAGCTGTGCTGGGTGACTCGGGGCAGCCGGGGGCTCCCAGGAGAGGGCGGAGGGGTGGGGACAGGGGCCAGAGGGTTGCACAAGCTCCGAGTAGGCGGATGAGTCACAGCAGAGGGGAAGGTGGAAAAAAGGAGGGAGGGGAAGAGAGGGGTGGGACAGACACAGTCCCCCCAGGGCCTAGCGCCGCCCGAAACCTCTGCCCATTTGACGGATAGGGAGACTGAGGCCCAGAGAGGGTCAGGGCCTTGTCTGGGGCTGAATAGCGCAGCCAGGGTGTCTGGGAGTTCAGGAAGGGCTGCCAAATGGGCCTGTGGCAGGAGGCGATGGGGGTTCCCCGGCTCCCTGCTCCTCCCGGGCGGGGTCTGGACTCCTCTGTTACTCACAGCTAGGGCTGGGCCGCAGGCTGGGGGCTCTGAGGGGCAGGAAGGGGTTTAGCCTGCGGAGTCACTGGCCCTGCCCCGACGGGGCACACCCACAGTGGCCTTGACCTCGGCAGGGTTTCGGCTCTGGGTCGCCGGCCTCCACCACACCCCTTCCTGCTGACTCAGAGCCCCCTGAAAAGAACCAGGCCTGACCAGGAGGCAGGAGGCTGGGGGACCAGGGGGCTGGCTCTTAGGCCCACTCCTAGTCTGAGTTCAGATGCCACTGTCTTCTGACCGTGGGGCTGGGGTAGGCGGCCTCAGCTCACGACAGCGGGTGCCGCCGGTTGGGTTCCCTTGGGATCAGCGTGAAGTAGGTGTTTTGTGGGGTTTGTTCTGTTTTGAGACGGAGTCTTGCCCTCACCAGGCCGGAGTGCAGCAGCACCATTTCATCTCACTGCAATCTCCGCCTCCCGGGTTCAAGTGATTCTCCTGCCTCAGCCTCCCTAGTAGCTGGGATTATAGGCACGAGCCACCATGCCTGGCTAATTTTTGCATTTTTAGTAAAGATGGGGTTTCAGCATGTTGGCCAGGCTGGTCTCTATCTCTTGACCTCGTGATCCGCCCACCTCAGCCTCTCAAAGTGCTGGGATTACAGGCGTGAGCCACCGCGCCCGGCCTAAGTAGGTGATTTGTAAAAGTCACTGTGCGACCTCTCCTCTGTGTCGGCCGAAGCCCATACTCTGACCAACAGGAAAATGGCTGAGATCAGGGCACTGTTCTTGAGCACCTACTGTGTGCTCCTGTGGCACCTCAAAATGCATTTTCCTTTATTTATTTATTTATTTTTTTTGAGAGAGAGTCTCACTCTGTCACCCAGGCTGGAGTGCAGTGCCTCGATCTCAGCTTACCACAACCTCTACCACCTGGGTTCTCCTGCCTCAGCCTCTTGAGTAGCTGGGATTACAGGTGCTTGCCACCACGCCCAGCTGGTTTATGTATTTTTAGAAGAGATGGGTTTCTACTAAATGCCAGCCATGTGGGCCAGGCTGGTCTTGAACTCCTGACCTCAGGTGATCTGCCCACCTCAGCCTCCCAATGTGTCCTTTCAACATGCATTCCTGGGGGCCCTCCTGGGAGGGGTGGTGCCAGTGTGCCTGTGGCACTAAGCGTCCAGTGTGGGTTTTGCTGGCACAGGACATCTGACTGCCCTTGGGCACAGCTGGGGAAACTGAGGCTGGGGAGGCACTATATCTGACTGCCCTCATGTACAGATGAGAAACTGAGGCTGGGGGGGAGGCAGGACGCCTGGCTGTTCGCATGCACAGCTGGGGAAACTGAGGCTGGTGGAGGCGGGACACCTGGCTGTCATGCACCACTGGGGAAACTGAGGCTGGGGGTAGGACATGTGGCCACCCTGATGTACAGCTGGGGAAACTGAGTCTGGGGACAGGACAGCTGATCGATTTTGTGCACAGCTGGGGAAACTGAGCCTAAAGAACTAGGACATTTGACTGCCCCTGGGAACAGCTGGTGAAACTGAGGCTGGGGAGCCAGGACATCTGGCTGTCCTCATGCTCAGGTGGAAAACTACTGAGGCTTGGCGGGGCGCAGTGGCTCACACCTGTAATCCTAGTACCTTGGGAGGCCGAGGTGGTTGGATCATTTGTGTCCAGGGGTTCGAGACCAGCCTGGCCAACATGGTGCAAGCCCATCTCTACTGAAAACAAAAGAGGCTGGGGCGGGAGTCTGTTGCTCTGACGCACAGCTCGGAAAATGGGCTGGGAAGGCAGATACCTGACTGCCTTCATGCACAGATGGGAACCCGAGGCTAGGGGGGCAGGTGGAGCGCTGCTTCTCAACGGTCTTGGGGCCTTGGCAGTGGGCACAGGAACCCCCGCGCCCCCACTCACGAGCGCCCTCTTCCTCCCCGCTGCTGCAGGTCTCGGCGCGGAAGATGGCCGGCGGCGTGGACGGCCCCATCGGGATCCCGTTCCCCGACCACAGCAGCGACATCCTGAGTGGGCTTAACGAGCAGCGGACGCAGGGCCTGCTGTGCGACGTGGTGATCCTGGTGGAGGGCCGCGAATTCCCCACGCACCGCTCGGTGCTGGCTGCCTGCAGCCAGTACTTCAAGAAGCTGTTCACGTCGGGCGCCGTGGTGGACCAGCAGAACGTGTACGAGATCGACTTCGTCAGCGCCGAGGCGCTCACCGCGCTCATGGACTTCGCCTACACAGCCACGCTCACCGTCAGCACGGCCAACGTGGGTGACATCCTCAGCGCCGCCCGCCTGCTGGAGATCCCCGCCGTGAGCCACGTGTGCGCCGACCTCCTGGACCGGCAGATCCTGGCGGCCGACGCGGGCGCCGACGCCGGGCAGCTGGACCTTGTAGATCAAATTGATCAGCGCAACCTCCTCCGTGCCAAGGAGTACCTCGAGTTCTTCCAGAGCAACCCCATGAACAGCCTGCCCCCCGCCGCCGCCGCCGCCGCCACCAGCTTCCCATGGTCTGCCTTTGGGGCGTCTGACGATGACCTGGATGCCGCCAAGGAGGCCGTGGCCGCCGCGGTGGCCGCGGTGGCCGCGGGCGACTGCAACGGGCTAGACTTCTATGGGCCGGGCCCCCCTGCCGAGCGGCCCCCGACGGCGGACGGGGACGAGGGAGACAGCAACCCGGGTCTGTGGCCGGAGCGGGATGAGGATGCGCCCACCGGGGGTCTCTTTCCGCCACCCGCGGCCCCGCCAGCCGCCACGCAGAATGGCCACTACGGCCGGGGCGGAGAGGAGGAGGCCGCCTCGCTGTCGGAGGCGGCCCCCGAGCCGGGCGACTCCCCGGGCTTCCTGTCGGGAGCGGCCGAGGGCGAGGACGGGGACGGCCCCGACGTGGACGGGCTGGCGGCCAGCACTCTGCTGCAGCAGATGATGTCGTCGGTGGGCCGGGCGGGGACCGCGGCTGGGGACAGCGACGAGGAGTCGCGGGCCGACGACAAGGGTGTCATGGACTACTACCTGAAGTACTTCAGCAACGCCCACGACGGCGACGTCTACCCAGCCTGGTCGCAGAAGGTGGAGAAGAAGATCCGAGCCAAGGCCTTCCAGAAGTGCCCCATCTGCGAGAAGGTCATCCAGGGCGCCGGCAAGCTGCCGCGACACATCCGCACCCACACGGGCGAGAAGCCCTACGAGTGCAACATCTGCAAGGTCCGCTTCACCAGGTGAGCTGCCCGCGCCGCGGAGGGAGGCGCGTCCGCACTCTGCCCGGCACCTGCTGCTCACGGGCCCTCCCCGCCTCTCCCTCTGCACCGCACACCCATGCACACACGCACACAGATGCACATGTCCACAGGCACACAGACATACACATACATGCACACAGAGATCCACATACATACACACGCACACAGACACACATGCACAAACATATACAGGCACACACGCACATGCACACACAGGCACATGCACACACCCGCAGGCACGCACACGCACATGCACACACACAGGCACACACAGACGCACATGCACGAACACATACACAGCCACACAGATGTGGGCACACACACAGGCACACAGATGCACATGCACAAACAGGCACACACGCACACAGATGCACAGGCACAGATGCAGGCACACACTCATGCACACACATAGTCAGACACATGCACGCACACATACACAGGCACACGCACATGCATACACATACAGGCACGCACACACATGCACACAGATGCACACGTGCACAGATGAACACGCACATGCATGCAGACAATGTACCCACGGGCACATGTATGTGTACACACACACAGACACACCCCACCTCAGGCCCAAAGCTGCTGCGTCCCTGGCCGGTATGCCTGTTAAGAACAGCCTAGACCAGCCCCTGCCCTCGTGTGTGGACATCCTGGTGGGTGACGGTGCAGGCCAGGCATAAGGTGACAGCTGTGTCGAATGCGAAGCGTGCGTGTCAGGGCTGAAGTGCGGGAGGCGGGCGGGAAGGCACAGTCGCTCTTCTGCCCTAGAGGGCTGGTTCTTCTCTTCTGCGTGTTTCGATTTTTTTCTGTTTTTGCTTTGGGAGAGGGTGACAGGTGCTCAGGCTTAGGGAGGGAGAGCCCAGGCTGTTGAGTTTCCTATGAGCCCGGTCATTGGCTTTATCAGCCAGCATTTCTGAAACATCTTCTGGTGCCAGGCCCTGTTGTAGGTGCCGGGGACAGGCTTGCTGGTCCTGAAGGATGCGGGAAGGAGATGCAGGAACGGGCGTTCCAGGCAGAGGGAACAGCCAGTGCAAGAGGCCCTGAGGCCAGCTCAGCTTGAGAGATCACTGTGTCCCCGTGGGAGCCTTGGGGCCTGGTCCCTGAACAGCAGGAGTTCAAGGCCGCGCCGGCGCAGTGTCGGATTTGGTCTTAGGAGTCCAGAGGTGGCTGGCCGGGCGTCGTAGATCCAGGGCAGGCTGCAGCGGTGGGGGCAGGGGGCTGGCAGGCAGGGACCTGGCCAGGCTGGGTGACTCAGCACCACCCCCTGCCCCTCTACCGCCCTGGGGTTCCCCCAGCCATGCCCACCAGGGCCGAAGAAAGAGGCCATTGTCCCAGCTTCCCGGCCCCGCCCCGTGGGGACAGGAACTAGAACTGACCCCCTCCCCAGCTCCCCCCACCCAGCACCCCGGACCCCTCCCCAGCAGGCCAGGAGAGGAGGGTGCGGCCTGGACTCCGGCGCCCAGGAGTGCCAGGCAGGGGGCAAAGGTCGATGACTGGGAGGCGGGCATTGTAGCTGATGGTTGCCCCTCCTTGGTGAGATTGGGGTACTGCAGATCTTGGGGGTCTCCTCTTCCTCCAGGCAGGGGTCCTGAGGTCACTGTGGGTTCATCTCTGAGCTCAGGAAGAGCAGCTTGGTGGGTACAGAGAGCCGGGGTCTGCAGAGAAGACCAGGCTGAGCTAGATGCTGCCCCTACCACTCCACCTCCCTGGCACAGTTTCATTCTGACTCGGGCATCGTGGAGTGCACCCTACTCGACCCCAGGGCTGATCTCGTCAGCCAGGGAAACTGAGGCTGAGAGAGGGACACTCGAAAGCTCTTCCTCCCACCCCAAGGCATACCCACCTGCTTCCTCTTTTCCTCACTCTGAGCCTCAGTCCCCACTCTCCAGGGCACCAGCACCCCCCCACACACACACAAAAGCCTGGGAGCCCGAGGCCCCTCTGAGTCACAGCAGGGCGTTGAGTAAGCAGGGCCTGTGGTGGCCGGGGCTATAATTACCCAGGCTGGGGCTCAGGGTGATGAAACTAGGGATACCTCCGCCCCCACCCCGCCTCTTCGTGGCTACTGGCCGGCTGTGCAGCCCTAGGCAAGGCACTTCCTCCCTCTGGGCCTCCCAGGCTCATCTGGGGAGTCTCTGCACAGTTCTAGAAAAACCTTGTGGCTGCCATCCCCTCTGTGACCCTGGCCCTCTGCCAGATCTGGGCAGGACAGCCCGGAGACCTTGTCCATGGGCTTTGCAGGAGGTGATCGGTAGACACCAGAGGCCTGGAGGCGGTTGACAGAGCTGGTCAGGCCAGGGTTCTGTTAGCAAGTCACCATGTTCTGTTGGCTTCAGTGGGGCTGCAGGGCTGGAGAGAAGAAGGTCAGGGTCTGGTTGCAAACAGCCAGGCCTTGATCCTCGGGGCAACAGAGAGCCAAGGAGGGGTTAAAGTTAGAGACACCAGTTCTGTAGCTAGCGCCAGAGGGAGGGACTTAGAGCTGGAGGAACCCAGAGGGGAGCCAGGTCTTTGGGAATTAGGAAAAGTAGAGGGCATTCAAGGTAGGGCTTTGCAGGATGCATAGGAGTTTGCCAGTCCCCACACTGAAAAAGCCTTCAGTCTGTTGAGTGTGAGAAGGAAGAAACCCAAAGTGGCTCAGATGTGGGGCACAATAGGCAGCAGCAAGGAGCAGGTCAGATTCTAGCCCGGGCTCCTGAGACCCAGGGCTCCCTCCTGCCCTCCAGATCCCAGAAGCAGTCTACTTTATCACTGTGGACGGGCATCATGCAATGGATATAGGCAAGACACCGCTACATTTTCTTTTTCTTTTTCTTTCTTTTGAGACAAAGTCTTTCTCTGTTGTCCAGGCTGGAGTGCAGTGGCACGATCTCAGCTCGCTACAACCTCCGCCTCCCAGGTTCAAGCAATTCTCCTGCCTCAACCTCCCAAGTAGCTGGGATTATAGGCATGCCACCACCGAGCCTGGCAAATTTTTGTACTTTTAGTAGAGACTGGATTTACAACATTAGCCAGGCTGGTCACAAACTCCTGACCTCAGATGATTTGCCCACCTCAGCCTCCCAAAGTGCTAGGGTTACAGGTGTGAGCCCCTGTGCCTGGCCAGCAAGCCACCTAAGTATTTTTACATTTTCTGACACCCCGTTAAAAAAAGTGAAAGGAAATTGGTGAAAGTGACTTGCAAGAAACATATTCTACCCAACCCAGTGGATGCATTTCTCTGTGGAGTCAATATGCATAATCCTCAGTGAGCTATTTTTTTATTTTATTTATTTTTATTTTTTTTGAGACGGAGTCTTGCTCTGTCACCCAGGCTGGAGTGCAGTGGAGAGATACCGGCTCACTGCAACCTCCTCCTGCTGGGTTCAAGTGATTCTCCTGCCTCAGCCTCCTGAGTAGCTGGGATTACAGGCGCCTATCACCACGCCCAGCTAATTTATATATATATATATATATATATATATTTTTTTTTTTTTTTTTTTTTTTTTTGAGACGGAGTTTCGCTCTCGTTACCCAGGCTGGAATGCGATGGCGCGATCTCGGCTCACCACAACCTCCGCCTCCTGGGTTCAGGCAATTCTCCTGCCTCAGCCTCCTGAGTAGCTGGGACTACAGGCACGCGCCACCATGCCCAGCTGATTTTTTTGTATTTTTAGTAGAGACGGGGTTTCACCATGTTGACCAGGATGGTCTCGATCTCTTGACCTCGTGATCCACCCGCCTCGGCCTCCCAAAGTGCTGGGATTACAGGGGTGAGCCACCGTGCCCGACTGATTTTTTATATTTTTAGTAGAGACGGAGGTTTCACCATGTTGGCCAGGGTGGTCTCGAACTCCTGATCCACACGCCTCGGCCTCCCACAGTGCTGGGATTACAGGCATGAGCGCCCGGCCTCAGTGAGCTATTTTACATCACCTTTTGTGTATCAGGTTTTCAAGAGCTGGGGTGCCTTTTGCACTTCCAGCACACATCAGTTCCGACTGGCCACATTTCAAGGGCTCAGGAGCCACCTAGGTCACAGGCACCCCAGGGCTCATACAGTGACCGGCTTTTAGGCTAGATGGGCAGGGAGGGGCCTTCCAGTCACACTCAATCCCTGCTGTCTCAGGGCTCACGGTCCAATCAGGGAGACAAAAGAAAAACAAGGAAATTACAGAAACAAGAGAGATTGGCCGGGCACGGTGGCTCACTCCTGGTCATCCCAGCACTTTGGGAGGCCGAGGTGGGTGGATCACCTGAAGTCGGGAGTTCAAGACCAGCCTGACCAAAACGGTGAAGTCCTGTCTCTCCTAAAAATACAAAAATCAGGCCGGGCGTAGTGGCTCACGCCTGTAATGCAAGCACTTTGGAGGCCAAGGCAGGCGGATCACCTGAGGTTGGGAGTTCAAGACTAGCCTGACCAACAAGGTGAAACCCCGTCTTTAAAAAAAAAAAAATCAGCCAGGCGTGGTGGCAAGTACTTGTAGTTCCAGCATTTTGGGAGGCTGAGGCGGGTGGATCACCTCAGGTTAGGAGTTCGAGACCACCCTGGCCATCATGGGAAAACCCCATCTCTCCTAAAAATATAAAAATCAGTTGGGCGTGGTGGCGGGTGCCTGTAGTCCCAGCTACTCAGGAGGCTGAGGCAGGAGAATCTCTTAATCTCTTTTTTTTTTTTTTAAGCCAGTCAAATTTAGCAGTAAGGGGTTGTATACCAACTTTAGTGATACTAATGTTAATAAGTTCTGATAATCCACTACCATCGGACCAGCCTCTCTTAATCTCTTGAACCCCGGAGATGGAGGTTGCAGGGAGCCGAGATCACGATGCTGTACTCCAGCCTGAGCAATAGAGCGAGACTCAGTCTCAAAAAAAAAAAAAAAAAAAAGAGTCAGACGGTGATGGCACAAGGATGGAGATAGGGCTAGGAGAAGAGGTGACATTTGAGCCCAGATTTCACTGTGAAGATCCAGTAGGCAAAAAGAAAGCGCCTTGGACAGTGGGAATAGCACGTGCAAAGGGCCCAGAGTAGCTCGAGCTTTGCAGGTCAGGGTGGATCCCAGATGGGGGAGCGAGGCTGAGTTGAGGGGAGAGGGGAAAGTGGGTGGGTCTGGGTGCTGTGGGGTGGGGACTCTGTTACTAGGGTGACCAACTGCCCCAGTTTGTCCCAGACAGAGGGGTTTCCCAGGATGCAGGGCTTTCAGTGCTAAAACCAGAACAGTTGGTCACCCTGTATGTCACCAAACACCCCGGCGACCGTCCGCCTCGAGAGGGCAGGGATGTTTGCCTGTCTTGTTCCCTGTGGTATTTTCAGCACCTGGAACAGGGCCTGGCCCTCAGCGGGAGCTCGGCAAACGTCCGTGGCGTGAATGAAGACACCGGGCACTGGCTGGCCTCGCCCCACCCTAGGGGTAGGGGCAGGATGAGGCAGCCAAAGCCCGCTGTCTACTTTTGCCGTAGGGAAGCCGGTTCAGGGCAGGTGCAGTGGATCACACCTGTAATACCAGAGCTTTGGGAGGCTGAGGCAAGAACATCGCTTGAGCTCAGGAGTTTGAGATTTGAGATTAGCCTGGGCAGCTTAGCTCAACCCCCATCTTCTAAAACTTACATACATATGTATGTATTGTTTAATAGCTATTTAATAGGGTGAGGCGGGCATGTGCTACTCTGGAGGATGAGCCCAGGAGTTTGAGGCTGCAGGGAGCCATGGTCATGTCACTGCCCTCCAGCCTGGGCAGCAAACCAGAGCCTGCCTCTTTTCTATTTTTTTTTTTTTTTTTTTGGAGACAGTCTCATTCTGTTACCCAGGCTGGAGGGCAGCTGCATGACTGCATGATCTCAGCTCACTGCAACCTCCACCTCCCACGTAGCTGGGATTACAGGCACGCGCCACCATGCCTGGCAATTTTTTTTTTTTTTTTTTTTTAGACAGAGTTTCGCTGTACTGCTGCAACCTCCGCCTCCCAGGTTCAAGCGATTCTCCTGCCTCAGCCTTCCTAGTGGCTGGAATTACAGGCGTCTGCCACCATGCCTGGCTAATTTTTGTTTTTGGTTTTGTTTTTGTTTTGAGACAGTCTCGCTCTGTTGCCCAGGCTGGAGTGCAGCAGCATGATCTTGGCTCACTGCACCCTCTGCCTCCCGGGTTCAAGCGATCCTCCTGCCTTAGCCCCACTAGTAGCTGGGATTACAGGCGCACTAGACCATGCTGGGCTAATTTTTTTTTTTTTTTTTTTTTTTTTTTTGAGACGGAGTTTCGCTCTTGTTACCCAGGCTGGAGTGCGATGGCGCGATCTTGGCTCGCCACAACCTCCGCCTCCTGGGTTCAGGCAATTCTCTTGCCTCAGCCTCCTGAGTAGCTGGGATTACAGGCACGCGCCACCATGCCCAGCTAATTTTTTGTATTTTTAGTAGAGACGGGGTTTCACCATGTTGACCAGGATGGTCTCGATCTCTTGACCTCATGATCCACCCGCCTCGGCCTCCCAAAGTGCTGGGATTACAGGCGTGAGCCACCGCGCCCAGCCCAATTTTTTGTATTTTTTAGAAGAGTCGGGGTTTTGCCATTTTGGCCAGGCTGGTTCCAAACTCCTGATCTCAGGTGATCTACCTGCCTGGGCCTTTGAAAGCACTGGGATTACAGGCTTGAGCCGTGGCACCTGGCCTAGACCTTTCTGTTAAAAAGTTGAAAAAGGTCAAAAGCCACTACCCAGGTGGCTCACGCCTGTAATCCAAACACTTTCGAGGCCAAGGCGGGCGGATCACCTGAGGTCGGAAGTTCAAGACTAGCCTGACCAACATGGTGAAACCCCGCCTTTAAAAAAAAAAAAAAAAAATGAATGAATAAATAAAAGTTGAAAAAGGAAAGGAGACAGGGTTCAGAGAGGGTTAGCGTTTTCCCAAGGCCACACAGCACGCAGCCCATCTTCAGATGCTCAGAATGCGAAGTCCCACCGTTTGTCGGGGGACCCTGCCCGTCGGGGAGGCCGGAGCCTCTGGCGCACATCCGTGTCCCTCTGGGGTGGTCCGGTGTGGGGGGGTGGCGTGGGGCCTGCCGCGTCCGTGAGGGTCCCTGGGCGGGGGATGAGAGGGTCCCCGGCCCCGCTGACCGTGCCCGCCCCGTGCCCCGTCCACAGGCAGGACAAGCTGAAGGTGCATATGCGGAAGCACACGGGCGAGAAGCCCTACCTGTGCCAGCAGTGCGGCGCCGCCTTCGCGCACAACTACGACCTGAAGAACCACATGCGCGTGCACACGGGCCTGCGCCCCTACCAGTGCGACAGCTGCTGCAAGACCTTCGTCCGCTCCGACCACCTGCACAGACACCTCAAGAAAGACGGCTGCAACGGCGTCCCCTCGCGCCGCGGCCGCAAGCCCCGCGTCCGGGGCGGGGGGCCCGACCCCAGCCCGGGGGCCACCGCCACCCCCGGCGCCCCCGCCCAGCCCGGCTCCCCCGACGCCCGGCGCAACGGCCAGGAGAAGCACTTTAAGGACGAGGACGAGGACGAGGACGTGGCCAGCCCCGACGGCTTGGGCCGGTTGAATGTAGCGGGCGCCGGCGGAGGAGGTGACAGCGGCGGTGGGCCCGGGGCGGCCACCGACGGTAACTTCACAGCCGGACTCGTCTAAAAACCAAAAAGAGAAAACAGAAACCCGAGAGAGAGAGAGAGACAGAGAGAGAGAAAAAAATCACCCACCACCCCCCCAAAAACACAAAAAAAGAAAATCTATCTATATACAGATATCTATATCTATATATATATACAGATATATATATATGACGCGTCACAGAATCTAGGGTAGCGCTTTCTCAGATTTCCCTCTTTTCTGACGTTTTTCCTCCCTCGACAGGGGCCCCGGCCCTCCCTGGCTCCCCTGCCCCCCACCCCCACACCCCATCGCTGGGTTTCGGGGCTTGGTTTGGGGTTTTTTTGTGGGACACAAGGAATCCGAGACCCCACACAGCCCCCTGGGCACCCGGCATGGGGCCCGGGGCCGATCTCAGGCCCTGGGTCGGGGTGAGGGTGGATGGGGGGAGCTTGGGGGAGGATGGGGTGGGCTTTTAATTTCCTCCCCTCGCTGGTTTCTATGAGTCTTTCAGACAAGACCTTAAATGATTTCTGTCTGCTCTGAGCAGACGTTAAAATGGGCCCCGCCCCCCGCCCCGCACCCTCCTTCCTCAGGGCACTTACTAAGGGAGGGGTCTCCCTCTCCATCTCCCCGACGGCCTCCCCACCTCCACCCCTGCCTGCGGCCCCTCTCCCCCACCCCCTGCATCTCCTGGCCACGAGACACAAACCTATTTATTTCCAGGCCTGGAGAAAGGAGATCGGACTGGGGTTCCCGGGGGGGCACCAGGATGGCTCCCGGGAGGGCCTCCCGCCGCCTCCCTTCACGGCACTTACAACTGGCGGGACCCCCATGGACCACCCCTCAGGGCGCCCCCCACCCCCGTCCGGTCCACCTAGACCCCCATGTTTGGAGATTCAAAACTTCTGTCTTGGTCCTCTCCCCCGAGCCCCCTCTCCCAAGTTTTTAAAGCACTTTTTAGATTTTTTTTTTCTCTTTCCTCCTTCAAAACAAAATTTATATATAGATTATATATATATATATAAATAATATACTTTTCCTCAGAGGAGCAGGCAAAGTGTGGGGTAAACAGAGTCATGATCAGAGGAACCCCAGGGTCTGGTGATGGCAGGGACGGGGAGAGAGAGAAAATCCACAAATTCCGATGTCACAAAAGCAATAAAACAACCTAGAAAAAAGAAAAAAAAAAAAAAAAAGATTTTACAAAATGAAAGGAAGGGAAAAAAAGGTAACCAACCACATTAGAAGTCTCGGCACTTTGTAATGGAACGGGTACTACACTTTATCTTAATTCTTAATTTAAAAACATGTTTACAAGTTACAACCAACTTCTATGAAAAGTTGAAAAGACAAAAAAAAAAAAAAAGAGCGAGAGAGAGAGAGCGAGAGAGAGAGCGAGAGCAGAAATTCCTAAAAGTCGATTTATTTTTGTATAAAATAATAAAAAAAAAAACCCACCACAAACGTAGAATCCACTTCTGTTCCCCAAAAATCGAGAAGGGGGGTTCAGGAGGAAGCCATTGCAGGGGCCCTGGGAGGCGCCCCGAGGTGTTTGTGCTACACCCCTGGACGCCAGCCTCGAAGGCAGGACTAAGGGGTGTCTGTGCTGTGTCCCCCGCCCCGCTTTCTGTCCCCTTTTTTGGTTCTGACGTGTACAGGTCTTAGCGCCCACTAGACATACAAAGGGCCGTCTCTGTCCTTGGGGTCTCCCTCCTCCTCCCTAGCTCAGGGATGGGCCTTCCAGCTGGAGAACCCCAATTGCTGCCCCGCACCCCCAATACCCCAATCCTCCCGCATGGCCACCCAGGAGCTGGACCTTGGACACGCCTGCCCTGTTGAGGTGGGTGACAGGGGCCCCCCATCTCCAGGGCCTTAGAACCACCGCCCCCCCTTCCCGCCCCAGGCACCCCTCTTTTTACTCAAAGGCACTGACTGTAATCCAGGGGGCTGGGACCTGCCTCCCCCCAACCTCTGGCTTCCACAAGGCCCGGCGTTGACCGAGCCACAGGCCACGGACAGGGGCCGGGGTTGGGGAGACAATGTCGCCAGATGCCAGGATGCCCTCACCCCTTTTGCATATGCAATGCCTAGCATGGGACCCCGAAAATAGACGCTCTGCTGCACTGACACTTCCTTGTCAATGCCCAACCAAGGGGGGTGTCTCCCTGCCCCTGCCCCCCCATGCCCCCTTCTCTGTGACACACGTCTTCTCGTCTCTTTTTCTTTCATTTTTAAAGGGAAGCTTTTAAAGAAGGCAATTTCCACATTGTTTCTACAAGATGGTTTTGGTTCCCCTCCCACCCCTCCTTAAGCCTGTCAGCCCCCTCCAATGTCTCAGGATCCCCCCTCTCCCCTGGGGCTGGGTGATGGCACCCCGGCTGCATTCACACCCCAGTGGTACAGGGCGAGCTGTTCTGAAGAGAAAACCATCTGTGGTGGCTTGGGCACCCAGGCCAGGGACACCCCCTGCTCCAGCTCCTAGAGCAGCCCCCTGAGGGGTGAGCCCTCTTTCCACTTGCCCCTCTCCACGCACCCCCTCGCAATAAAACCAACTCCAAAATCACAGCTGTCGTCCTGGCCAGTGGGGGCGACCGGACTTGGGGGGTGGAGCCCTCTGGGACTTCCGTAGGAACCAGGGCTGCTGCCCACCGAGACACTCACACAGACCTCCTTGGGGATTGCACTAACCCCTCGTTCCCAGCTCCGCACTCAGCTTCGCCTGTCCCGCCCGCCCACTTTGCCTTAACTGCCCGCCCGTCCTGGGGGCCACAGCCTCTGCATGGGCCCAGAGCCGGGACCCCCCAGCCCAGCCCCATCCTCCCCAGACTCCGCGCAATCACATACTGTATATAGACGTGGATCGATTTTATTTTTATTCTTTAAATTAAGGTCGTGATAAAGTGTTGCCAAAGATACCTGCTGAATTCTCGCGTTTCAGGAAACAAAAAGTGATATTTGAGGAGGGTCGTGTGACTCCGTGAGAGAGGACACAGCTAAAAGCTTTTTTGTTTGGTTGTTTGGGGTTTATTTTGTGTTTTCTTTTTTTGGGGTGTTTTTTTTTTTTTTTTTTAAACTGCCTGGTACAAAAAAAAAAAAAGAAAAAAAAAAAAACCAATGCGAAATTGTGGCTTCCATTCTCGTGGACGGGTGTGTGCGTGTGTGAAAGAGAGCGGGAGCGAGGTCCAGGCTTCGGGGGGCTTCAGGCGGGGGCGCCCGGGGGGCCAGGGAGGTGGCCAGGCCGGAGCCCCCGTCTGCAGCATCCCCGCCAGCCTGCCGGGCACAGGGGAGAGAGAGAAGCATCCTTGCTACCAGCTGTTGCTGTTCCCTGCCTCGGTCCCACCGACGCCACCCCGCCTTTTGAGATTAAGGAAAAAAAAAAAAAAAAAAAAAAGGCAAAAAAATTTTTAAAAATGAAAAAAAAAAAAATTATAAACCAGTGAATGTAAAATGCCGGACCAGGTCCAGCCTGGCACGGGTGTGGGCCTGTGGCAAGCCAGGCTTGAGCGGGCAATACCAAAGTCTGCCCCTGCCTTGGGTGGTCCGCTCAGGAGACCCCCCCCACCATTGTGGTCATGGGAGCCCTGTCACCTTTTGTCCATAGCTGTCTTTTTGCTTCCTTCCGGGGGGGGGGGTCCCCAGCCTCTCTTGGGTCTTCCCCTGGAAGTCGGGGACTGCGAGGAACATGGCGGAGGGGGTCTTGGCACGATTCAGACCCCGGGGCTGTGGCAGGAGCAGCCACCTTACACTCGGTGGCACTGTGGCAGGGGTCGTAGGGTGCCCCCCTCCCCAAATGGGGACAGTCCAGGCAGCTGGCGAGACAGAGAGAATGAAATGAAAAACAGAAAAAATAAAAATAAAAAAACCCACAAAAAAAAGCAAAAATCCTATTTTTTGAGAAAGAAAGATATTTATATTTGCAGTTTTATTTTAAGAAGTTATTTAAGTTGAAGCAGCCTTCCCGGAGGTGGGTGGGGGGTGGCTGGCACAGGACGGGTCAGGGGCCTGGAAGCTGGGGGGCCCCCAGGAGCTACAACCTCAGAATTCAGGCTAGTTTGCATTAAATACATAGATTTACAAGGGTGGGTGGGGCGGGGGGGGGACTGGGGCCAGGAGGTGGAGGGGGCCGGGGCGACCCCCAATCCCTTGCCGGGGCTGCCTGGAGGCTGTGGACGGGGGTCCGATGCCCAGGTCCAACCCCCCCGCCCCTCCCCAGGCCCAGAATCCAGGTGCCTTGGACTTTGCGGGGGCCAGGACTGGTGAATGGGGGGCGGGATGGCGCCTTCAGGGTACAGAGCACAGACAGACATTCCAGAGACTGTATTTGAGAGTCTTTATAAAGTGTGGGAGATTTAAAAAAAAAAAAAAATCTGATAAAAATGCACTTTTGGGGAGTGGGGAGGGAGAAGCTTTAAAGTAATTTAAAAAATACAAACAAAAACACAAAAGATGAAAAAGCAGAAAAAAATTCATTTTTCTTGTACATAAAAAAAACCACTAAACGCAGCCTGTTACGACCGCTGCTGCCTCGGTTGCCTCATTTGATGTTCTGTGTTTTGTTGGGGGGAGGGTGGGGAGCGGGGGTGGAGGGCTTGGGGGGGGTCCCCTTTTTCCTCTTTTGGCCCTGAAGAGACTGGATGGGTTGAGCCCCTGGTCCACACCACACCTATGGACCCAGGGTGACTTGACCTTGGGTCTCAAGGAGAGAAACGCCAGGTCCCTGACCCTTCCCACCCAGCCTTGGAAGCCAGGTCTGTCCCATGGGGGGAGGCAGGCCGTGGACAGTGACCCAGCGTGAGGGGTGGGGGCTGAGTATCCAAGGAGGTCCCAGGCCCGGAGGCCCCTGCGAGGAAGGTGACCCACAGCCCCTCACGTGGGCAGGCAGCTGGCACAGGATAAGGCCAGAGGGGCAGCAGGGAGAACCGGCTAGGCAGGGTGTTGGCAGAATCCAGGGGTGGGTCTTAGGTACCCCTGGTTCCAGGCTATCCCAAGGCCCCAGGTGGGGTAGACCCACCTGGGGGCCATCAGACTCTGCTAGGGCCTCAGAGGACCCCAGCGTGCTGCCCCATGCCAGGCCCCTGGGCCATGAGCCAGGATCTGGAGCTGGAAGTCTCAGCTAGCTGCAGCCACTACCTCTGGGTGGGATCCCTGAGGGATAGCCTCCTCCTCTCGCCTGTCCTCCAAGCAGACTCAGCCCAAGTCCAAGGAATCTGTCTGGGCCAGCAAGGGTGGGAATGGGGCCGGCCCCAAGGGGTGAATGAGGCAGATGTGGCTGCACTGAGCCGGGCACTGGATCCACTCAGAGCCGCAGCTCCTCTTCTGTGGATTGGGCCCTTCCTAGTAGCCACAGAAAGTCAACATAGCCTCGCCCAGCCCTCACCAGGAAGCACCACAAAGGCCACACCACAGAGTCTGAGGGTCACTGGGTCTTTGTGTGGACCCCAAGTCAAAGCCCCGTACCTATGTGATGCCACCCATGAACCTGCTGCAGCCAGGATTTGAGCCCAGGTCCCCAACGTGAGCTGGGGCAGGGTGGGAGGGTCATCGGTCCTACAGCCAGACCCTGTCCTAAGCCCCCTGCCTCCTAGGCCCTCAGGGCACACAGGCCTCTGCTCAGAGGTCCTGCAGCCTCAGGAAGCTGAAGGAGAACCGTCAGGACCACCAGTCGGGGGTAGGTGCTTCTTAACCTCTCTGCTTTAGACAAGGCTTGGTGCAGTGGCTCCTGCCTGTAATCCCAGCACTTTGGGAGGCTGAGGAAGGAAGATTGTTTGAGCCCAGGAGGTTGAGGCTGCACTGAGCTATGACTGCACCACTGCACTCCAGCCTGGATGACAGAGTGAGACCCTGTCTCAAAAATTAAAAAAACAAAACAAAAAACCAGTAACTCACATACCATAAAATTTCCCTTCAAGGCTGGGCACGGTGGCTCACACTTGTAATCCCGGCACTTTGGGAGGCTGAGGCCAGTGGATCAAGAGATCAGGAGATCCAGACCATCCTGGCCAACATGGTGAAACCCTGTCTCTACTAAAAATCCAAAAATTAGCTGTGTGTGGTAGCACGTGCCTGTAATCCCAGCTATTCAGGAGGCTGAGGCAGGAGAATCGGCTTGAACCCGGGAGGCAGATGTTGCAGTGAGCCGAGATCAAACCACTTCAGCCTGGACAACAGAGCGAGAATCGATCTCAAAAAAAAAAAAAAAAAAAAAAAAAAAAAAAAAAAAATCCCTTAAAAAAATTATTCATCCAAGAAATAAAAAAAATAAAAAAAAAAATTATTCATCCATCACCACTAATTCTGGAACATTCTATCAGCCCAAAGGATGCCCCATAACCATTCGTGATCACGTCCCATCCCCTTCTCCACCCTCTGGCACCCCTGAATCCCCTTCCTGTCTCTGTGATTGGCTTGTCCGGGACATTTCATAGAAATGGGATCACATGCTGAGTGGCCTTTGGCGTGTGGCGTCCTCAGGGTTCGTCCGCGCTAGGTTCTGTGTCAGGGTCTCGCTTCTTTCCATGGCTGTCATACTGCAGTGTGGATGGCCACACTGCGCTGATACACCGCCAGGGTGACAGACACGGGTCATTTCCACGTTTGGCTGCTGTGCATATCTGTAAACACTTCGCTTTTTTGTTGTTTTTTTGAGACAGAGTCTTGCTCTGTTGCTCAGGCTGGAGTGCAGTGGCACAGTCTTCTCACGGCAACCTCTGCCTCCCGGGTTCAAGCCATTCCCCTGCCTCAGCCTCCTGAGTAGCTGGGACCACAGGTGTCTGCCATCATGCCCGGCTAATTTTTTGTGTTTTTAGTAGAGAGAGGTTTCACCACGGCCAGGATGGTCTTGATCTCCTGATCTCATGATCCACCCGCCTTGGCCTCCCAAAGTGCTCGGATTACAGGTGTGAGTCACCGAGCCTGGCCCTCTGAACATGTTTCTATCTGGACGGATGTGTTCAAGTGCCTTGGGGACATGCCTAGGGGTGGCACTGCAGGTCCCACGCTAACTCCACATTTAGCCTTTTGAGCAACGGCCCAACTCTTTCCAAGGGGCTGCACCATGTTATCTGCCCTGACCCTCGCTGCTGTCTTTGATGCTAGCCGTCCTGGTGGGGGTGACAACTATCTCACTGTGGATTTGACTCTCACATCCCTAACAGCTCTTCATGTGCTGTTTTTTTTTTTTTTTTTTTTTTTGAGACAGTAACATTCTGTCGCCCAGGCTGGAGTGCAATGGCTTGGTATCAGCTCACTGCAACTTCCACCTCCCTAGTTGCAGCAATTCTGCCTTAGCCTCCCTAGTAGCTGGGACTACACACATCCACCGCCACGCCCGGTTACTTTTTTGTATTTTTAGTAGAGGTGGGCCAGAATGGTCTTGATCTTCAAACCTCAGCCCACCTCGGCCTCTCAAAGTGCTGGGATCACAGGTGTGAGCCACCAGGCTGAGCCCTTTTTTTCCTTACGAAAGCAAAACACTTATCTTCTTTGCCACCCCAGAGAGACATGGATGATCTTGGGACCTGAATTCTGTGTCTGGCCCAAGCCCCCGCTCAGTCTCCCAGTCTCCCCTGCTGGGTGAAACTGATCTCATTCAGGCCAGGCGCGGTGGCTCCTGTCATCCCAGCACTTTGGGAGACTGAGGCAGGAGGATCACTTGAGAACAGACCCCGAACCCCATCTCTATAATAAAAATCTGCCTCATTTGACCAGGTGCGGTACCTTTTGACTTCCGGAGCTCAGGCAATGACCAGGAGTTTCTGTCCGTTCCCCACCTGCCCCCCACTACAAGGCACACAAGAGACACAGGGCACAGAGAAGAGGACGCCTGGGTGGCTTCACCTTGACCTTTTTTATTTCCATTTTTTAAAAACAATTAAATTAGAATACAAATATTAGAAAACAGCGGCCTTCAGCTGCCCGAGCGGGCGGGAGGGGCCGGGCTGCGCAGAGGGCTGCGGGCTCTGCAGCGAGACTGAGCTGCCCTGGGCCAGATGCACGTCCCTTTCTTTAGACCTGAAATGATATTGCTTCCTGACTAGGAGTTCTGTTTATACAAAGGAAAATTCTGGGCTGGGGAAGACAAAAGCAAAACAGACCGCAAGGAGCGGTGTTGGAGAACCAGGTGAGGCTGGCGCTCCGCCTGCGCCCCGGTCTCCTGGAGGGGCGAGGGGGACGCCCAGCTACAGGCTCCGGGAGGCAGAGCCCCCGAAGCCCCCCCTCTGGTTGGACCCTGAGGCCAAGGGCATGGGTGGGGCCTGTGAGGGGCCGGGATCCCCTGGGGGCGGGAGGGAGGCCCCGTCTGGTCTGGTCCTGCTGGAAGAGCGAGGCTCCCGGGGGACAGGGCGCCAGGCCAGCCTCGTACCCGTCGGAAAACCCAAGAGCAAAAAGAAGGGAGAGGAATCTACCCAAACCGAGAGCCAGGGCGGCCGGAGTCCCCGCTGCCCCTTGGGAAGCCACCGCCCCCCGTCCCTCGAGGACCAGGGTGTGGTGGTGGTGGCGGCGGCAGCTGTGGACATCTGTGGACATCTGTGCTGTTCCGTAGGGAAGTTAACCTGAATTGGAGTTACCGAGGTAGCTGGCTAGAAAACTGAGACCCCCCCACGCCACACGGTGCCGCATTCTGGCCCCCGCCTTCCCCGGGGGTTCCTGGCCACGCGCCGGGTCTTCAAAATACCAAATTATTGCACTTTCAAAAAATACAACACATCTGTGGCTAAACCCTCCCCAGCCCCCCACCGTGCCCTCAACCTGCCCGCCCTCCCCCCACCCTACCCCTCCCTGCCCCAAACCAATCCATGGCTTCTTGGCTAAAACGCTCGCTGCTAGGAGCGTGAGGGTCTCTGGGCGAGGCCGCGTTTGCAGAGAAAAAGCAAAGGAAGAGACAAACGTCAAAGTGGTTGCCAGAGAGGGGCTGTGCCCCACCGCCCGCCGCCAGGTCCCTGCGCCCTGGCTGGAATGGTCATGGGAAGAGGGCGGCGGGCAGCAGGGCATCCTGAGGGGAGGGTGCGGGGTGGCATCCTGGTCCCTCCCGCCCACCACCCCTGCCCGGCTTGGACTCCAGCCGGGGAGGTGGCCGTGTGGGTGGCCGGCCTTGTTTTTAAGAGTTTGACTTTTTTGTTTCATTTTTCTTTTTTGTATCTTTTTTTTTTTTTTTTTTTTTTTGTCATTTTACTTTTTTTTAATCCCCCGACAGGAGAGTCCAGAGGTACAGGTGCCAGGAGCCAGGCAAAGGGGTGGAAAAACAAAACGAACGACAATAAAAAGAAAATAAAAAGGTCACTCCTCCATCTGCGCCCGAGGCCGGCCCGCGCCCCTCTTTGTGGTGAGCACCAGGAAAGTCGAGTGTCCGGCCGGGGTCAGCAGGCTGGCACCAGGCCCTTCTGGAAGGGGCAGCGGCGCTTAGGCCGGGGGCCCTCCTCATCCTCGTCCTCATCCTCCTCCTCCTCCTCCTCCTCATCCTCTGAGGACGATGAGCTGTCCAGCGTGAGGTCCACCACGTCTGCGCCTGGCTTCCCATTCTCCACACTGCCCGCCGAGCCGCTGCCACCCGTGCTGCCCAGGGCACCACTCCCGTTGACGCTGGGGGCGGGCAGGAGCCCATTGGCATCTGAGGGGCCTGCAGGCGACAGGCACAGGGCGCAGGTACTTAGGACGCAGCCACTGACAAATAGGGAAACTAAGGCGGCCTGGCTGGGGACCGCGAGGTCAGTGGCGGTGCAGTACTCACCCAGGACGAGGATGGTGCCCTGCGGGCTGCAGCTGCGCTCCTTCTCAGCGCGGATCGGGCACCATGAGCCGTCTACCAGGTATTCGATCTCGTCGGCGTCCTCACACTCGCTCAGGATCTTCGAGAGGAGGCTGAAGCGAGGCAGAGAAGCTGAGCCCTGGGCTGGGGGCGCCCTGCGCACCCGCTCCGCAGCCCACCATCCCCTCCGAATGCAGCCGGCCGCTGCCCACTTCTCTGTGCCCGAGCGGCTTTACCACCCCGAGGAGGGAGACCCAGGAGTGCTGCCTCCCCTCCCTGCCACGGCCCCTGCAGCTGCTGAGCCCTGGGCAGGTCTCCAGGTACACACACGCATATGTAGACTGCATGGCCATGAGCGCGTGTGAGCGTATATGCATGCACATCTGAATGTATGCATGTGCAGATGTGCACACTCGTGTATGTGGACTATACCAATGTGGGCACACGCTGTGTTAATGTAGACACGTGTGCATGTGAAGGCGCAGACTGCAGACATGTGTGCGCATGTGGTGTGTGCGCGCATGTGCGAGCATGTGCGAGCATGTGTGAGCCTGTGGGTGTGCGCACGCTCATGCCTTCCCATTGCACTGTGTGCCAGCAGACAAGGAAACAGCCTCGGGGGGAAGGTGTGGGCTGCTCAAAGACCCTGCAGACGCTGTGAGGGTAGCACTGGGAGCAGAGTGGGGGCCCCCCCCATGCCCATCCCAGCCACAGCCTCTCCAGAGCACCCATCCCACCCAGTGTCCGGCCTTCTTACTCAAGAGTCCTACCAGCCCCATTTCACAAATGTGCAAACAGAGGCCCAGGAAAGGGATGAGTCCCAAAGACCCAAGGTCAATCAGAGGCAGGCCCTGGTTCTGGGGCATCCTAACCAAAGGGCCTCGGTCTCCCCACCTGCAGAATGGGAGGGGTGCAGTGGCCAAAGGGGGGCGTCTGAATGGATGCCCCAGGTATAGGCAGTGCCGTATACCACAGAGCAGGCTGGCCTGTTGCTGTCAAGGCTGCAGCTGCTCCCATGTGCCTGCAGCAGCCCCGCTCGCATCACGCAGGAGACGAGGCGTCTTCCCGCTCTGGGCCACCCTCTGAGGCCTATGGGACTCCCCTCACCCAGGTCAGCCCCGCCTACCCTTCCTACCCTCACCCTTACCTTCACCCTCACCCTGGAGTGATGCTCAGAGCTCACTGTGCCAGGGCCATCCCAGGCATGGGCAAAGCTCTGCCTGCTTACTTCCTTACCTGTAAAACTCCTACTCAACCTCCAAAGCCCCATCCCGTAGCTTCCCTTCCCCCTCCCTGACAAGCACAGCAACAGGAGTGTTATGTCTGGCTCTGCTCCTCCATCCGCCCCGACCAGAGCAAGGCTCTCCGAAGGCAGGGTCTGGGAAATGACTGTTTTGGGGACCCTGGGTTCACCCAGCTCAGGGCCAGGGACAGACAGGTGACAGGGCTCATGGAATAATATATGAACCAAGGAGCCCTCATTCAGGAAGCCTCCCTGGCTGCACCGAGTACCCATGGGCTGCTGAGACCAAGGCCTACGTGGGACACAGCTGCCTGCCCCAGCCCTGCCAGCCCTGGAGCTGAGAGCCCAAGCCCAGCTCAGGGCCTGTGGGGGAAGGCGGGCACTGGCCGCACAGCTGTCAGGCTGGGAACAGAGAGGCCATTCAGGCAGCCCATGTGCCCGGGCCCCAGGGCCTCTCTCTCCACCCGAAACTGGCCTGCAGGGGGGTGACAACGCAACCCCCGAGGGGAGCAGACTCAGGCTAGGTTCCAGTCCCAGCCGGGCCAGCTGTGGGCCGGGGTAGCTCCAGCTGCTGGCTGCCTCCTCTAAGCCTATCTCTCCAACTGTAAGATGGGGAGGCTCGAAGGTCTGCCTCCCGGGACCTTTACTTGGAGACTAAATCTACAACCCCGGAGGTGGGCCAGTCCTGCCTTCACCTGCACGGTTGGCTGAGGCCATGCCCCTGGGGGCTGGGGGCTGGGGGCTGGGCCCCCTCCCCTGGGCGGGGCCTGCTCCCACCTATGAGGGCACCAGCTCATGCCGATGTGGCCTCACACCCTGCCAGCGGCTCTGGGGACGAGAGGGAGGCGTGGCTGACGCCAGCCAGCAAATTGGGCACCACAGACAACGGGGCTCAGTTTCTGGAAACTTAAGCCCTGGGCAGAGAGAGCCTCCCTCCAGGGAGAAAGGCTCTGTCCTCCTGTCCTGAGGCCTGGGGACCGCCTGGCTAGCTGTGACACCCAGGAAGGGGAGGTGTGGTGTGGTGTAGCCAGAGTGCTCGGGGAGCTGCCGCCTGCTCTGCCCTTTCTCTGAGGAGGTCACCCCCAACCAAGTCTGCCAAGTCACACTTCCTCGAGTGGAATGACGTGCGGAAGCCGTGCCTGGCTCAGCTTTTTGTGGCAAAAACCATACATACTCCTGGAACTCAGGGTCACACTTGCCCAAGGTCACGTGGGAGCGGGGATGGACCCGAGTCCACCTTCTGCAGCCTAAGTTACACACGCCTGGCGCCTGCACAGCTCTGACAAGTTCCATGGGGAAGAAATGGGTTCGTACCGCAGCCCCGGGGCTTCCGGAGCTCTAGGACCATGCGCCCTCACTGTTGGGTCTTGCTGGGGCATCACGAGGTCTGCAGGAAGCGGGGTGGAGCCAACACCTCCACGGCGTCTGGCTCTGGCCTCCCTCCCCCGGGCCCCAGGCCCCAGGCTCACCCATCGATGATGAGCTGGTCGTAGGGGGCTGGCTTGTCACACACCGGGCACATCCAGGTGGGCTTCTTCTCATTCATCTGCAGGTAGAAGACGGCGTCGAAGCACTGCAGGTGTGCGCAGGTCTCTGCCCGGCAGGGCACAGAGAGCCGCATCTTCACCAGCTGCGGGTGAGGGGCTGGGTGAGCAGGGCACCCCTGACTGCTGTGCCCGGCCGGTGCCCCTCACCCCCAACTCCATCCTGTGGCTCCTTCCAATAGCTCGTGTCTCAGGGACACAGAGGGGACCAAGACCAGCCTTGCCGCTCAGGCTCTCGGCCCAGCCGAGCCACCCCGGGACCGGGACCACCGTGGAGGAGGCCCGGCCACAACAGAGGCCCCGAGGAGGGTTGTGTGCCCCAACTCACCGGGCAGATGAGAGACACCCGCACCCCAGTGGTGGCAATCTCGCTGTCAGGATCCAGGCGAAGCTTCTCCTTGACTGTGAGGAGGAAACAAGAGGACACGGTCAGAGGGGAGGGAGCAGCGGGGCTCGGGACTGGGATTCGGGTCTCGCCAGCACTGACCTCCACCTCCCAGAACAGGTGCCCTGAGGACAAGCCCCGAGCTTTGCTGCTGGTTCAGAGCTACGAGGGATCAGGGAAGGCTGGGTGGCGACCACCATTAGATCTGGCCGCAGCCTGGGCAAATCACAGACACAGCCGAAGCCCCAACACGCAGATGAGGCCTCTCCCTGGCCCGCGTCAGCGTTCTATGACCCACGGCACTTTTCTGGAAAGTTTCATGCAACACAGCCACCTAGAGGATCATCGACGTGACTTAATCCTGTCACCAAAGCATCATCCCCAAGGCCACAGCCGGGAATAAGGCAGCAACCGCGCCATGAGATGGACCCTGGAACTCCTGACCATAAGCCAGGAAGCGGCTGCCACCCAGCCATGGGCACCGCCCCTGGGCACCCTGCACGCCCAGGAGGAGCATAGCTGCTTCTACAAAGGAAAAGACACGCCCACCTCTCGACAGGCTGCAGGCCACTGGCAGGAGGAACTCACGCAGGCACCTGGCTGCCCTCCTGACGCTTCTGGAATGCGGCCAAATTCCATCCCCGGGTAGCTCAGGAAGGAACTCCAGCCCTGGGCCCTTCGGGGCAGAGACCACACTGGCCCACAGCCCACAGGGCTTCTCTATCCACGACCTGGCCCTTAGCTGCTTGGTGGACCTGAGTTGCTTCCTCCAGGAAGCCACCTGCCCACCTGACTTGGGGTCCAGAGTGACAGTGCCAACCTGTCTCCCCACTGCCCTCAGCTGCCCTGACGTTTCTCTGCCTGGAACTGCCCCCACCACCCGCTGTTGGCCTGAAACACCATTTATCTCTGGCCGAATAGGAGCCACTTCCTCCTTCCTGACCCCTACCCAGCCCCCTGGCCCAACCTGCAGCCTGTGTGTGGACCAGTGGGCGCTTCTTCCTCCCATGGGGACGCGGCAGCAGCCACGTGCTGGCCGCCATGGTCTGCTCCTTCGCAGGGCCCCAGCAGCTCTCCTGCCTGAGCCAAGGCTGCCCCAGCCTTGGCCAAGTTTCCAGCCCTGGGTCCCAGCTCTGGCTACCAGATGCCCGGGAGGACCCTTGGGCCTGGTAAGGGGGCCCTGGGCAGCTAGGAGGGAATGCAGGTGCCCATCAGATTTCAAAGCAAGCTCTCCCTCCTCCGCGTATAGAAAGACGTGTGTGGCAAGAAGGGTTCAAGTGAAACAAAGGTGAGGACTTCCTGGGTGCAACAAGAGAGAACAAGGACAAGGAGGGACAAGGAGGCCGAGCCTGGGGCCGCAGGTGGGCAGCGCCTGAGGACCACCTCAGACAGGAAACTTGACCCCGCAGGCCCCAGAGGGCCAGCCGCGGCCCCCGGCACTGCAAGCTGTGGTCACTGACAAATTTGGCCCAGTCCCTGCCCCGTGGGCCTAGAAGAGGCCTGCCTGGCCCCAGCCTCATCGATCAAGTTAGCCATTATGCCTGCAGGCAGGGAAGGTGGGGGGTTGAAGAAAGGGCCCTTCGAGGGAAGAGGGAGGTGGGGGATGGAACACCCAGATCACAGAACCCTAACTCTGCCACTCTGTGCCTCAGTATCCCCACTGGTCAGACAGAGACATCGCTAAGCCCTCCCTCCCCTCACCCCTCCCCGTCCTGCTCTGCAGAGGGCACGCTGATGGCCATCTTTCTTGACTTGGGGGGCTGGAGTGCACAGTAGGCTTCAACATAAGGGGGTTCACAGGTCCGTGGCGATTTCAGCACTGCTCCAGGCTCCAGACACCCAGGCTAGGAAGTGCCCTTTAGAGGTCAGGAGCAGGGGCCAGAGGCCTGGGCCCAGCTGTGTCAGGAGGGCAGTGCTCACGGGGGACTCTCGGGCCTGGGCACAGGGGCCCTGGGCAGTTAGGAGGGGCAGCTAGGAGGGGCAGCTGGGAGACCCTCTGGCCCACATTCTGCCAAGGGGCTGGGGTGGTGCCCAGGAGCCACCTGAAGAGAGTGACCATTCTTGAAGGGGATGTGAGCAAACCTGGCTGGCCTGGAGCCACCCTCCCCTCAGCCTGGAAGGCAGCCCCCATCCTCGCCCACCTGCCCGACTCCCACTCCCAGCACCAAAGGACTCCAGGTTACGCCTCATTTCTCCACAGGACAGGCCTGTAGAGCCCACTGAGGCCTGGGCCCCAAGCATGTGGGTCCAGAGAGAGGCCCAGGTACCCTCAAGATGTCTCAGACCTGGTCCCCTGAAGACAGCAGCCACCAGACAGGGCCACTGACTTTCCGAGGCCACACAGCTTGCCAAGCAAGGCTAACTGACACTGGCTTTGTGCTGGGCAGCTGCTCGGGTGGGGACTGATCCAGCTGCCAGTCTTGGTAGGCTTTTTGTAAAACTGCCTTGCGCGTCACTTAAAAAAAACTGTTTTCGCCGGACGCGGTGGCTCAAGCCTGTAATCCCAGCACTTTGGGAGGCCGAGGCGGGTGGATCACGAGGTCGAGAGATCGAGACCATCCTGGTCAACATGGTGAAACCCCGTCTCTACTAAAAATACAAAAAAATTAGCTGGGCATGGTGGCACGTGCCTGTCATCCCAGCTACTCAGGAGGCTGAGGCAGGAGAATTGCCTGAGCCCAGGAGGCGGAGGTTGCGGTGAGCTGAGATCGCGCCATTGCACTCCAGCCTGGGTAACAAGAGCGAAACTCGGTCTCAAAAAAAAAAAAAAAAAACTGTTTCCATTGTTACAAGTACCAAAGAGGCCAGGTGTGAAAAGAAGCCGACTGCAATCCCAGCACTTTGGAAGGCTGAGGCAGGTGCACTGCTTGAACCCAGGAGTTTAAGACCAGCCTGGGCAACACTGCAAGATCCCAGCTCTACGAAACATTAAAAAATTAGCTAGCATGGTAGTGAACACATGTGGATGGTTCCAAGCTAGCTAGGAGGCTGAGGCAGGAGGATTGCTGGAGCCGAGTTAGAGGCTGCAGGGAGCCATGATCACACCACTGCACTCTAGCTGGGTGATACAGTGGACTTTTTTTGAGAAGGAGTCTTGCTCTGTTGCCCAGGCTCAAGTGCAATGGCAAGATCTCAGCTCCCTGTAACCTCTGCCTCCCAGAGACCCTGACTCCCTTTGGAAAAAAAAAAAAAAAGATAAAATGGGGCCTCAACACGGGAGGTCAGACCTCTCCCGTCGGTCTTCCTCCCACAGTGACTGACTGTACTGCCCTCGCTGTCCGTGCCTGCCAGGCCCGCAGCACCTTCGGTCTCGCCGTGGCCCCAGGAGGAACTGCTTCATGCGGCTCCTGCTGTGCGCCCCTCTCAACCCTCCTGGCCTCTGTGCTGTCCTGGAATGCTTGGACCACTCTGTGCTGGGGCACCTGGGGCCAGTGATACAGGGCATGCCCCTGCAGGCCTCTGCAGAGCAGCTCCCACTGCCAAGCGTCACCTCTGCCATCCGCATCCTCCAGAGACCTCCCTAGCCGCAGCACAGGCCACGGACCCCCCGAGTGACAGGCGGCCTCTGACTGATCTCCTACAGGCGCAGGGCCCGCCCCTCGCCCAGCACAGGGCAGGCTTCCAGGATGCAGCTCTGCCCGCCCTCAGCCGAGGTGGCCCCGAGCCGCACTCACCCAGCGCCTTGCACAGCTCCGGGTGCTTCACCCCAATGGTCTTCAGCCTCTGCAGCAGCTCCGACGAGGTCAGCTGCCGCACCAGGTACAGGGCCACCGAGTAGCTCTGGGGCGGAGAGGGGCTGGGTCAGGGCCGGCAGGGCAGGGCCGGCGACGGACAGGTCAGGGGCAGGGAGGCAGCCTGGGCACTCACTCACCTTGCCATAGTTCCCCCAGGTGACGGTGATGCGGTTGGTGGCCGAGGACAGGTACATGAGGTGGGTGAGGTTGATGGGGCGGCACGGCCTCTTGGGCTCCACCCCGGGCTTATTGGATGGGTAGTAACCCTGTGAGCAGACGGGCTACTCAGACGGGAGTGTAAGGACGGCCACGAACTCCAATGGCCCCCACGCCCCTCCACCCTGCCGACCCTCACAGCAGACGCAAGCGGCCGTGCTCACCGGGACCGAGCAGTAGCTGTGGTTGACCTTTACGGCAATGTTGGGTGGGTACTGGTCCTCCTGAGGGCAGCTGGTGTCTGAGTAGCAGATTCTGCAACGACAACAGGGACCATGGGGTGGCAGGAGGGGGACACAGGAGGGGCCGCAGGAGGGAGGCAAAGGAGGGGCCAAGCTGCTGTGGAGAACAACAGGGACCAAGGGGTGGCAGACAGGGAGGCACAGGAGAGGCTGGGTCGCTGCAGGGGACCACAGGGACATGGGGCAGCAGGTGGGGGGAATACAGGAGGGGGTGGGTCCCGGGGGACACAGGTGGCAGTGACGGGGGGCGATACAAAACGTAACACGTGGCTGGACTGCATGGGGGTGGGGGGGCGTCTCGGTGAGTCTGGGTGTGGCCTGGGCAGGGATGGAGGATACTGATGTGTCCCCAGATAGGGACAGATGGCAGATGGGGGGAGCTGGTAGCAGGGGAGACTGAGAAGGGCCTGGGCTAGGACTTGGGGAGCCATGGCAGGCCTGGAGAGGTGGGTGGCTGGGGGCCCAGCCCTGGGGTGGCGGGCACACCTGGGCATACCTCAGGACGACCTGCACAGCTTTGACTCCAGGCTGCAGTTCTCTGTGGGTGTGGAGCAAACCAGAGGAAAGGAAAGCAGAGGTGAGTGAGGAGGGCACGACACTGGCCCGCCCCACAAGGCGGAGACTTCCTCCCCGAAAGGCTCTCTCCCCCAAGCTGGGAAACTGAGGCCCAGGACTCTTTTGTGCAGGCTGGGTGAGACTAAAGTGGCTGTGGGGCCAGGATAGGGGTCGGCCTCCCTGGAAAATGGAAAAGAATCTACCACAAAGCCCTGAACCAGAGAGCGCAGCCAGTTGCCAAGGAACCGCAGCTACAAGGCGCACGCTGGAATCTAGCGGCCAGCTCACAACCGAAGAAAATACCCAGCTTGGGAGGCCAAGGCTGGCAGAGCGCTTCAGCCCAGGAGTTTGAGACCAGCCTGGGCAACATTGTAAAACTGTCTCTACAAAAAATACAAAAAAGGCCGGGTGCAGTGGCTCATGCCTGTAATCCCAACACTTCAGGAGGCCGAGGCGGGTAGATCATTAGAATCAAGAGATCGAGACCATTCTGGTCAACATGGTGAAACCCCGTCTTTACTAAAAATACAAAAATTAGGCCGGGCGCGGTGGCTCAAGCCTGTAATCCCAGCACTTTGGGAGGCCGAGGCGGGTGGATCATGAGGTCAAGAGATTGAGACCATCCAGGTCAACATGGTGAAACCCCGTCTCTACTAAAAATACAAACAATTAGCTGGGCATGGTGGCACGTGCCTGTAATCCCAGCTACTCAGGAGATTGAGGCAGGAGAATTGCCTGAACCCAGGAGGTGGAGGTTGCGGTGAACCGAGATCGTGCCATTGCACTCCAGCCTGGGTAACAAGAGCGAAACTCTGTCTCAAAAAAAAAAAAATTAGCTGGGCATGGTGGCGTACGCCTGTAGTCCCAGCTACTCGGTAGGCTGAGGCAGAATTGCTTGAACCCAGGAGGCGGAGGTTGCAGTGAGCCAAGATCGCGCCATTGCACTCCAGCCTGGGTAACAAGAGCGAAACTCTGTCTAAAAAAAAAAAAAAAAAGGCCGGGCGTGGTGGCTCAAGACTGTAATCCCAGCCCCAGCACTTTGGGAGGCCGAGGCAGGTGGATCACGAGGTCGAGAGATCGAGACCATCCTGGTGAACATGGTGAAACCCCCGTCTCTACTAAAAATACAAAACATTAGCTGGGCATGGTGGCACGTGCCTGTAATCCCAGCTACTCAGGAGGCTGAGGCAGGAGAATTGCCTGAACCCAGGAGGCGGAGGTTGCGGTGAGCCGAGATCGTGCCATTGTACTCCAGCCTGGGTAACGAGCTAAACTCCGTCTCAAAAAAAAAAAAAAAAAAAAAAAAAAATCATCTGGGTGTGGTGGTGTACACCTGTGGTCCCAGCTGCTCAGAGGCTGAGGCAGGATGATCCCTCCTGCTAGGAGGATCCTCTGAACCCATGGAGGTGGAGGTTACAGTGAGCTATGACTGCACCACTGTACTCCAGCCTGGGTGACAAAGAGAAACCCTCTCAAAAAAAAAAAAAAAAAAAACCCCGAGAACACCCCAGGATAAACTTAAACAAGAAATGCCCCCAGAAAAAGAGAAAAATCTGTCTACCCAAAGACACTTCCATGGATGTTCACGGCAGAACTGACCATGACAGCCACAAAGTAGCAGCCGCCTGAGTGTCCTTCACACACCACTGGATGTGAAGGACCCACATGCACTGGATGCGACCCAGCCTTGGAAAAGAGTGAGGCTAAGACCCAGGCCTTGGCACAGATGCACTGTGAGGATGTCCCGCCCCACGAGATGCCAAACACAGAAGACCACGCAGGGCCTGGTGCGGTGGCTCACACCTGTAACCCCAGCACTTGGGGAGGCTGAGGTGGGTGGGTCACCTGAGGTCAGGAGTTCGAGATCAGCCTGGCCAACAGGGTGAAACCCCATCTCTACTAAAAGTACAAAAATTAGCTGGGTGTGGTGGCTTATGCCTGTAATCTCAGCTACTCCGGAGACTGAGGGTGAATCGCTTGAACCTGGGAGGCAGAGATTGCAATGAGCCAAGATAGCACCACTGCACTCCAGCACAGCAAAGGGTGAGACTCCCGTCTCAAAAAGTAAAATTAAATTAAATTTAAAAAAATGAAGCCAAGACCCTGCATGGCTGGCTCTGAGCGCTCCAGAGCAGGGACCCAGTGGGGGTAGAGGCTGTGCTGACCCTGGTTCAAGACGAATTAAGAGGAGGCTGAGGAAGGCAAGTCACCACCTTGGGTCTCCCAGGCAGAGAGGCCTCCGTGGCCAGGCCTGGCTAGGCTGATTCCGAACCCTTACCAGGTGTGAGGACCATGCTGGGAGGCCCTGGGGACCTGGGCCCACAGCAGGTGGGGGCAGTGGGTCAGAAGCAGTTGGGCCCGAGAGGCCGGGCATTACATGTGGCACCCACCCCAGCCCGAAGACGGACTCAGGTGTGACCTGGGCAAACGGCCTCCCCTGTGTTGAGATCCCAGCACCTGTCACATGGCTGCCCCAGCAGGAATGTCTCAGATTGGGGCAGGGCAGCCTTGGAGAGACTGAGGGAGGAGCAGGGCAGCTGCGCCAGCCCTCACCTGCTACAGCTCAACCATCTTTACCTGAGGGTGACGCTGCCCCAGGGGACACACACCAGGCAGTGTCTGGGGACATCTGTGGTTGTCACAACAGGGGCATATTCTTGGCATGGAGTGGGTGGAGGCCAGGAATGCGACTCAGCACCCTGCCGTGCCCAGGACAGTCCCACATGCAGAGGGCACAACCGTGTTGAAAGTGGACAGTCAGTCCGCCTCTCTCTCGGGCTGCAGGGCACAGGCAGTGAGCACACAGCCCAGCACCTGAGACCCAGGACAGGGTTTTATGGAAGGAAGAGAACGCGGCCACTGCCTTGCAGCAGGGATCTGGACTGAGCTCGAGCGAGGCCTGCGGTGGACGTGGCTGCCGGCTCTCCCGTGAGCCCAGGACACGGGGCACTGGGCTGGGGGAGGCACCGCGCACCTGGAGTTCCGGATCAGCTCCACCTGTCTTGGTGTCAACGCGAAGATGCACGGGCTCTCCTGAAGCTTCTCGTTGTTCTGTGGGACTGAAGACAAACATGGGTTCAGGGGTGCATCTGGTCCCTGGCAGGTCCCCCGAGCCCAGTCGCCATTCCGGGCCTGCGCCTCTTCAGACCAGGAAACAGGAAATAGAAGCTGGCTGGACAGATATGTGGGGCAGAGGTGGGGGCTGCGCGAGGAGGGAGGAGGAGGGAGGATTCTCGTCCCCTTCTTGGGGCCACTCAGAAAGCAGGGCAACCTTGGCAGCCGGCGGGATGCAGGCGTCTATTTAGGAAGACTGAAAAGTGACCAGCTGCCTGGGGGAAGAGCTGGGCCCCGCCAGGCCTGGAGGACATGACTGTCCTTCCTCCTCCTCCCTCTGGCAGCACAAACTGGACCCGTCCCCAGCTCTCCTCATGCCTGCAAGGCACCCACGTCACCAGGACAGAGGTCTCGCCACGGGTACTAAAAGGGGATAAGGCCACGGTGCTGACAAGTCTGGGTCCTACCCTATCGGTTACAGCTGAGCTGAGCAGCAGAGGCACAGGCAGAAAACACTGTGGTTTTCTCTTCTGAGACGGAGTCTTACTGTTGCCCAGGCTGGAGGGCAGTGGCAGAATCTTGGCTGACTGCAACCTCTGCCTGGCCAGGTTCTAATGATTCTCCTGCCTCAGCCTCCCCAACAACTGGGATTACAGGCACATGCCACCACGCCCAGCTAATTTTTGTATTTTTAGTAGAGATGGGGTTTCGCCATGTTGGCCAGGCTGATCTCCAACTCATGACCTCAGGTGATCTGCCTCTCAAAGTGCTGGGATTATAGGTGTGAGCCACCGCGCCCAGCCAACCCCATCTCTTTTTTTTTTTTTTTCCTGAGACAGAGTCTCGCCCTGCCACCTATTCTAGAGTGTGGTGGTGCCATCTCAGCTCATTGCAACCTCCACCTCTCAGGTTGAAGTGATTCTCCTGCCTCAGCCTCCTGAATAGCTGGGATTACGGGTGTGCACTACTACGCCAGGCTAAATTTTTTGTATTTTTAGTAGAGTCTCGGTTTCTCCATATTGGCCAGACAGGTCTTGAACTCCCAACTTCAGGTGACCCACCCGCCTGGGCCTCCCAAAGTGCTGGGATTACACGAGTGAGTCACCGTCACCGCACCCAGCTGCCGTATCTTTTAAAAAGAAGAAAAGTGGCTGGGTGTGGTGACTCACACCTATAATTCCAGCACTTTGGGAGGCCCAGGCGGGTGGATCACAAGGTTGAGTTCAGAACCAGCCTGGCCAAGATGGTGAAACCCCACCTCTACTAAAAATACAAAAAAAAAAAAATTGGCCAGGTGCAGTGGCAGGCACCTGTCGTCCCAGCTACTCGGGAGGCTGCGGCAGGAGAAGAGTTTGAACCTGCGAAGTGGAAGCTGCAGTGAGCCGAGATCACACCACTGCACTCCAGCTTGGGCAACAGAGACTTTATCCAAAAAAGAATAAAGAAATTGGCCAAGCTGGCCGGGTGCAGTGGCTCACACCTGTAATCTCAGCACTTTGAGAGGCCGAGGCGGGCGGATCACCTGAGGTCACGAGTTCAAGACCAGCCTGGCCAACATGGTGAAACCCCGTCTTTAAAAATAAATAAATTAATTAATTAATTAAATAAAAAAGAAATTAGCCAAGCACGGTGGGGGGTACCTGTAATCCCAGCATAAAAAATAAAATAAAAAAGAAATTAGCCAAGTATGGTGGGGGGGTACCTGTAATCCCAGCTGCTACTTGGGAGGCTGAGGCAGAATTGCTTGAAGCTGGGAGTCAAGGAGTGCTACCACTGACTCGGTGACAGAGCAAGACTGTTTCCAAAATTTTTTTTCAAAACCCTAGCTTTTTTCAGGGGGTACAAGGAAAAAACAAAGAAAGAAAAAAGCCCTAGCTGACTGAACAAAAAGAACATCAACTATCAATATCAGAAATGAAAGTAGGCTGGGCATGGTAGCTCACATCTGTAACCTCAGCACTTTGGGAGGCCAGGTGGGTGGATTACCTGAGGTCAGGAGTTCGAGACCAGCCTGGGCAACATAGCGATACCCTGTCTCTACAAAAATTTTAAAACTTAACCAAGTGTGGAGGCATGTGCCACCTGTAGTCCCAGCTACTTCGGAGGCTGAGGCAGGAAGATCACTTGAGCCCAGGAGGTCCAGGCTGCAGTGAGCCATGATCACAGGACTGTAACTCCAGCCTGAGCAACAGAGCCAAACCCCAACTCAAAAAAAAAAAAGGGCCGGGTGCGGTGGCTCACACCTGTAATTCAAGCACTTTGGAGGCCAAGGTGGGCGGACGACCTGAGTAGTTCAAGGTCGGGAGTTCAAGACCAGGCTGACGAACATGGTGAAACCCCGTCTTTATTTAAAAAAAAAAAAAAACAGCCGGGCACGGTGGCTCAAGCCTGTAATCCCAGCACTTTGGGAGGCCGAGGCGGGTGAATCACGAGGTCAAGAGATCGAGACCATCCTGGTCAACATGGTGAAACGCCGTCTCTACTAAAAATACAAAAATTAGCTGGGCATGGTGGTGTGTGCCTGTAATCCCAGCTACTCAGGAGGCTGAGGCAGGAGAATAGCTAGCACGAACTCAGGAGGTGGAGGTTGCAGTGAGCCGAGATCGTGCCATTGCACTCCAGCCTGGGTAACAAGAGCAAAACTCCGTCTCAAAAAAAAAAAACACAGAAAAGAAAACTGCAGGTACATATTGGTGACTTCTATAAAACATTTGGAAATAAACCATATAAACTGTACATAAACTCTTTTTTTTTTTTTTTTTGAGACAGAGTTTTGCTCTCGTTACCCAGGCTGGAGTGCAATGGCACGATCTCGGCTCACCGCAACCTCTGCCTCCTGGGTTCAGACAATTCTCCTGCCTCAGCCTCCTGAGTAGCTGGGATTACAGGCATGCGCCACCACGCCCAGCTAATTTTTTGTGTTTTTAGTAGAGACGGGGTTTCACCATGTTGACCAGGATGGTCTCGATCTCTTGACCTCGTGATCCACCCGCCTCGGCCTCCCAAAGTGCTGGGATTACAGGCTTGAGCCACCGCGCCCGGCCATAAACTCTTAAAAAAAACAGAAAGGAAAAGAAAACTTATTTTACAAGGCCAACATAACTCTGATACCAAAATCTTACAGTGAAGCATCAAGAAGAAAAATTACAGATAAATACCCCTCACGAACACAGATGTAAAATCCTCCACAAAATCTCAGCCAGTATTTCAGGCCCCTGAGATCTATGTGAGAAACGCAAGACTGGTTGAAAACCTCTCTGTACATAAAGGCCAGGTGCGCTGCCTCAGGCCTGGAATCCCAACACTTCGGAAAGCCAAGGCAGGTGGATCACTTGAGGCCAGGAGTTCAACACCAGCCTGGACAATGTGGTGAAACCCCATCTCTACTAAAAATACAAAAATTAGCCAGGCGTGGCGACCCACATCTATAATCCCAGCTACCTGGGAGGCTGAGTCAGAAGAATCACTTGAACCCAGGAGGCGGAGGTTGCGGTGAGCCGAGATCGCACCACTGCACTCCAGCCTGGGCAACATAGCAAGACTCTGTATCAAAAAAAAAAAAAAGTAAAATAAAATAAAATACCTCTCTATACATTCACTAGCGTGGCTAAAATTAAGAGACTGACAACTCTAAGAGGCAGCAAGGGTGTAGAGCAACCAGAACTCTCCGCTGGTAGGGTTGAAAGAAGGTATAACCACTCTTCCCTTTATTAAGGAACCTGCCCTTATAAAGGTAACCACAGACCCACCCTATCACCCAGAAACCCCACTCCAAAGTATTTTCCCCTCAATAAGTGCAAACAGGGCTAGGTAGAGTAACTCATACCGGTAATCCCAGCACCTTGGGAGGCCGAGGTGGGCGGATCACTAGGTCAGGAATATGAAACCAGCCTGGCCCATACGGTGAAATCCCATCTCTACTAAAAGTACTAAAGTAGCCAGGCATGGCGGAGCACATCTGTAGTCCCAGCTACTCGGGAGGCCAAGGCAGAAGAATCACCGGAACCCAGGAAACAGAGGTTGCAGTGAGCCAAGATCGCGTCACCACACTCCAGCCTGGGAACAGAGTGAGAGTCTATCTCAAAAAAAATAAAAAATAAATGGAAACATGCATCCAAAAGGAGCTGCAGGCCGGGCATGGTGGCTCATGTTTGTCATCCCAGCACTGTGGGAGGCCAAGGTAGGGTAGAAGGATCACTTCAGCACAGGAGTTGCAGACAGGCCTGAGCAACACGGTGAGACCTTGTCTCTAAAAAAATGTTTTTAGGCCGAACACGGTGGCTCACGCCTGTAATCCCAGCACTTTGAGAGGCCGAGGTGGGTGGATCACCTGAGGTCAACAGTTCGAGACCAACCTGATCAACATGGAGAAACCTTGTCTCTATTAAAAATACAAAAATAGTCCGGGTGTGGTGGTGCATGCCTGTAATCCCAGCTACTAGGGAGGCTGAGGCAGGAGAATCGCTTGAACCCTGAAGGTGGAGGTTGTGGTGAACCGAGATTGTGTCACTGCACTCTAGCCTGTGCAACAAGAGCAAGGCTCCATCTCAAAAAAAAAAAAAAAAACAAAAAAACAACAACAAAAAAAACGTTTTAAAATAAGCCACGTGTGGTAGTGTGCAGCTGTCTTCTCCACCACTCAGGAGGCCAAGGTGAGAGGACTGCTTGGGCTCAGAAGTTCAACACCAGGCTGGGCAAGACAGCACAATCGCGTTTATGTTTAAAAATAGAGGCCGGGTGCGGTGGCTCAAGCTTGTAATCCCAGCACTTTGGGAGGCCGAGGCGGGTGGATCACGAGGTTGAGAGATCGAGACCATCCTGGATCAACATGGTGAAACCCCGTCTCTACTAAAAATACAAAAAAAAAATTAGCTGGGCATGGTGGCACGTGCCTGTAATCCCAGCTACTCAGGAGGCTGACGCAGGAGAATTGCCTGAACCCAGGAGGCGGAGGTTGCGGTGAGCCGAGATCACACCATTGCACTCCAGCCTGGGTAACAAGAGC